CCTTCCTTCCTTCCTTCTTTCATTCTTTTTCCTTCATTCCTTACCCTTCCTTGCTTTTCTTTCTTTCATTCATTCTTTCATTCTGTCCTTCCTTCCTTTTCTTTCTTTCTTTCATTCATTCTGTCCTTCCTTCCTTCCCTTCCTTCTTCCTTCCTTCCTTTTTCCTTCCTTCCTTCCTTCCTTCCTTCCTTCCTTCCTTCCTTCCTTCCTTCCTTCCTTCCTTCTTTTTCCTTAATTCCTTACACTTCCTATTATTATTATGATTATTATGATTATTATGATTATTATTGGCATGAAATGGAATATATCCATTTCAAAGCAAAAACAGCTTATGAGTGGTTATTTAATATTGTTATATAGATCCTACAGTCTGACACACCTTGACTTTCCTATTATTATTATTATTATTATTATTATTATTATTATTGGCAAGAAATGGAATATATCAATTTCAAAGCAAAAATAGCTTATGAGTGGTTATTTAATATTGTTATATAGATCCTACAGTCTGACACACCTTGACTTTCCTATTACTATTATTATTATTATTATTATTATTATTATTATTATTATTGGCATGAAATGGAATATATCCATTTCAAAGCACAAACAGCTTGTGAGTGGTTATTTAATATTGTTATATAGATACTACAGACACGCCTTGACTGCCCTATTATTATTATTATTGTTGTTATTATTATTATTGGCATGAAATGGAATATATCCATTTCGAAGCACAAACAGCTTGTGAGTGGTTATTTAATATTGTTATATAGATACTACAGACACACCTTGTCTGCCCTATTATTATTATTATTATTGTTATTATTATTATTGGCATGAAATGGAATATATCCATTTCGAAGCACAAACAGCTTGTGAGTGGTTATTTAATATTGTTATATAGATACTACAGACACACCTTGACTGCCCTATTATTATTATTATTATTGTTATTATTATTATTGGCATGAAATGGAATATATCCATTTCGAAGCAAAAACGGCATTTGAGTGGTTATTTAATATTGTTATCTAGATCCTACAGTCTGACACACCTTGACTGCCCTATTATTATTATTATTATTATTATTATTATTATTGGCAAGAAATGGAATATATCAATTTCAAAGCAAAAATAGCTTATGAGTGGTTATTTAATATTGTTATATAGATCCTACAGTCTGACACGCCTTGACTGCCCTATTATTATTATTATTGTTGTTATTATTATTATTGGCATGAAATGGAATATATCCATTTCAAAGCACAAACAGCTTGTGAGTGGTTATTTAATATTGTTATATAGATACTACAGACACACCTTGACTGCCCTATTATTATTATTATTGTTGTTATTATTATTATTGGCATGAAATGGAATATATCCATTTCGAAGCAAAAACGGCATTTGAGTGGTTATTTAATATTGTTATATAGATCCTACAGTCTGACACACCTTGATTGCCCTATTATTATTATTATTATTATTATTATTATTATTATTATTATTATTGGCAAGAAATGGAATATATCAATTTCAAAGCAAAAACGGCTTGTGAGTAGTTATTTAATATTGTTATATAGATCCTACAGCCTGAGACACCTTGACTGCCCTACTATTATTATTATTATTATTATTATTATTATTATTATTATTATGTTTATGTTTATGTTTATTTATAACCTTTCTCTCCCTCCTGGCAGCCGTCATCCGCAATTACGGCAACCTTCTCCTGGAGATGTCGGCCATCGTTCCGGATGGGATCGTAGCCTTTTTCACCAGCTACCAGTATATGGAGAACATTGTGGCCTCTTGGTACGAGCAGGTGGGTCTTTGCTTATTTATATTATTTATGTTATATTATTATATTATGCTATTATATGTTTGTTCATACCCCGCTTTTTCTCCTCTCTACAAGGAGCCTCAAAGCGGCTTACACTAAAAGCATTTTGATACGACTTAAAATAGACGAACATTAAAACAGAATTAATAATCACGAGTATGTCATTAGATTCAATGACTTCTCGTTGGGAAGAACAGTCTAGGATTGTCAACTTGCTGCTTTGAAAAGATTGATATAAACAAGTAGAAGGAGGTTGTGATGATTATAATAAGTATAATAATAAATATAATAATAAATATGATATATATAATAATGTTAATGGTTATACATATTAATAAATATAATGATAATAATAATGAATATAATGGTAAAAATATGATTAATAATAAATATGATAAATATAGTAATATTAATGGTAATAAATATTAATAAATATAATGGTAATAAATATGATTAATAATAAATATGGTAAATATAATGTAATGGTAATACATATTAATAAATATAATGATGATAATAAATATAATGGGAATAAATATGATTATTAATAAATATGATAAATATAATAATGTTAATGGTAATATATATTAATATATAATGATGATGATAATAAATATAATGGTAATAAATATGATTAATAATAAATATGATAAATATAATAATGTTAATGGTAATATATATTAATATATAATGATGATGATAATAAATATAATGGTAATAAATATGATTAATAATAAATATGATAAATACAATACTGTTAATAATAATAAATATTAATAAATATAATGATGATAATAATAAATATAAAGGTAATAAATATGATCAATAATAAATATGATAAATATAATAATGTTAATGGTAATATATATTAATATATAATGATGATGATAATAAATATAATGGTAATAAATATGATTAATAATAAATATGATAAATACAATACTGTTAATAATAATAAATATTAATAAATATAATGATAATATTATTATATATATATACTAATTATAATATAATATTATAATAATAATATATATAAAATATAATATAATAATATTATAATATAATATAATATAATATAATATAATAATATATATAATATAATATAATATAGTATAATATAATATAATATAATATAATATAATATAATATAATATAATATAATATAATATATAATGGTAATAAATATGATTAATAATAAATATGATAAATACAATACTGTTAATAATAATAAATATTAATAAATATAATGATGATAATAAATATAAAGGTAATAAATATGATCAATAATAAATATGATAAATATAATAATGTTAATGGTAATACATGTTAATAAATATAATGATGATAATAATAAAATTAATGGTAATAAATATGATTAGTAATAAATATGATAAATATAATAGTTAATGGCAATAAATCTTAATAAATATAATGATAATAATAAATATAATGGTAATAAATATGATTAGGTAAAAGGTAAAGGTAGTCCCCTGACATTAAGTCCAGTCATGTCTGACTCTGGGGTGTGGTGCTCATCTCCATTTCTAAGCCAAAGAGCCAGCGTTGTCCGTAGACACCTCCAAGGTCATGTGGCCAGCATGACTGCATGGAGTGCCGTTACCTTCCCGCCGGAGCGGTACCTATTGATCTACTCACATTTGCATGTTTTTGAACTGCTAGGTTGGCAGAAGCTAGGGCTGACAGCGGAAGCTCACGCCGCTCCCCGGAATCGAACCTGCGACCTTTCGATCAACAAGCTCAGCAGCTCAGTGCTTTAACTCACTGCGCCACCGGGGGCTCCAAATATGATTAATATTATGATAAATATAATAATGTTAATGGTAATAAATATTAATAAATATAATGATGATAATAAATTAATGGTACATAAATATGATTAATAATGAATATGATAAATATAATAATGGTAATGGTCATAAATATTAATAAATATAATGATGATAATAATAAATATAATGGTAGTAAATATGATTAATAATAAATACGATAAATATAATAATGGTAAAGGTAATACATATTAATAAATATAATGATGATGATAATAAATATAATGGTAATAAATATGATTAATAATAAATACGATAAATATAATAATGGTAAAGGTAATACATATTAATAAATATAATGATGATGATAATAAATATAATGGTAATAAATATGATTAATAATAAATACGATAAATATAATAATGGTAAAGGTAATACATATTAATAAATATAATGATGATGATAATAAATATAATGGTAATAAATATGATTAATAATAAATACGATAAATATAATAATGGTAAAGGTAATACATATTAATAAATATAATGATGATGATAATAAATATAATGGTAGTAAATATGATTAATAATAAATACGATAAATATAATAATGGTAAAGGTAATACATATTAATAAATATAATGATGATGATAATAAATATAATGGTAATAAATATGATTAATAATAAATACGATAAATATAATAATGGTAAAGGTAATACATATTAATAAATATAATGATGATGATAATAAATATAATGGTAATAAATATGATTGATAATAAATATGATAAATATAATAATGGTAAAGGTAATACATATTAATAAATATAATGATGATAATAAATATAATGATAGTAAATATGATTAATAATAAACATGATAAATATAATAATGATAATAAATATAAATAAATATAATGATGATAATAATAATAAATATAATGATAGTAAATATGATTAATAATAAATATGATAAATATAATAATATGAACAAAAATTGACTTCCATTCCATCTTCTTGCTTAATGTCCTTTCTTTTAGTCAAAACCTTTTAAAAATTTTATTTTTATTTATTATTATTATTTTAATTATTTTAATTTTTTTCTTATTTTTTCTTTTTTCTTTTTCTTTTTTCCCCTCCTTTTCTCTTTTTCCTTCTTTTCTATAATGGTTTGTTCTCATTCTTTCGCTGTTTTCATGGTTTAAATAATTTCAATAAAATATAATTCTGAAAAAAATGTAATAGTAATACATATGAATAAATATGATGATAATAGTAATAAATATAACGGTAATAAATATGATTAATAAATATGATAAATATAATAGTGTTAATGGCAATAAATATTAATAAATATGATGATAAATACAATAATAAATATAATGGTAATAAATATTATGAATAATAAATGTGATAAATATAATAATGTTAATGGTAATAAATATTAATAAATATAATTATGATAATAGTAATAAATATAATGGTAATAAATATGATTAATAATAAATATGATACATATAAGAATGTTAATGGCAATAAATATTAATAAATATGATGATAATAAATATAGTGGTAATAAATATGATTAATAATAAATATGATAAATACAATACTGTTAATAATAATAAATATTAATAAATATAATGATAATAATAAATATAATGTTAATAAATATGATGAATAATAATTATGATAAATATAATAATGTAATGGTAATACATATTAATAAATATTATGATGGTGATGATAAATATAATAGTGATAAATATGATTGATAATAAATATGATAAATATAATAGTGTTAATGGCAATAAATATTAATAAATGATAATAATAATAATAAATATAATGGTAATAAATATGATAAATATAATAATGTTAATGGCAATAAATATTAATAAATGATAATAATAATAATAAATATAATGGTAATAAATATGATAAATATAATAATGTTAATGGCAATAAATATTAATAAATGATAATAATAATAATACATATAATGGTAATAAATATGATAAATATAATAATGTTAATGGCAATAAATATTAATAAATAATAATAATAATAATAAATATAATGGTAATAAATATGATAAATATAATAATGTTAATGGCAATAAATATTAATAAATGATAATAATAATAATAAATATAATGGTAATAAATATGATAAATATAATAATGTTAATGGCAATAAATATTAATAAATGATAATAATAATAATAATAATAAATATAATGGTAATAAATATGATAAATATAATAGTGTTAATGGCAATAAATATTAATAAATGATAATAATAATAATAAATATAATGGTAATAAATATGATAAATATAATAGTGTTAATGGCAATAAATATTAATAAATGATAATAATAATAATAAATATAATGGTAATAAATATGATAAATATAATAATGTTAATGGCAATAAATATTAATAAATATAATGATGATGATGATGATGATAATAAATATAATGATAATAAATATGATGAATAATAAATGTGATAAATATAATAATGTTAATAATAAAAATATTAATAAATATAATGATAAACAATGGTCATGCTAATAAATATGAATACCAATGATAATAAATATAATAATCGTAATAATAATAAATATTTTTATTAATAATAAGGTAATGATGGTGATAAAAAATAAATATAATAACAAATATGGTAATCATAATAATATTATTAATAATAAATACAATAATGGTGATAAATATAATTAATAATAAATATGGTGATAACAATAAGTATAATAATAGTAGTAATGGTAATATTAATATAGCAATTATATGACAATAGGTGTGACTTGACCACCCCCTCCTCCTTTTTCCAGGGCATTTTGGAAAACATCCAGCGCAATGATGATAATATTAATATAGTAATAATACGCCCATAGGTGTGACTTGACCTTGTCCTCCTCCTCCTCCTCCTCCTTTTTTCCTCCAGGGCATTTTGGAGAACATCCAGCGCAACAAGCTCATCTTCATTGAGACGCAGGACGGGGCCGAGACCAGCATGGCGCTCGAGAAGTACCAGGAGGTCAGGAGGAGGGTCCAGCTCTAGTCAAGGCCAAAAGAGACATAGGTTCTGCCCACCCCAAAAGCCCAGGCTTCCCCATCTCTGGATTGTGGTCTACCTCAGGGGTCTTCACAGTCTTTCAGTCTATGATGGAAGGGAAGGAGAGGCAGACTATAGGTTGTTGTTGTGTGCCTTCAAGTAATTTCAGATTGGCCTTTGTCTTCCTCTGAGGCTGAGAGAGTGTGACTTGCCTAAAGGCACCCAATGGGCTCAGAGCCACAGCCTGAAGTTCAAACCATTACACCTCTTTCTTCTTTCTTTCTTTCTTTCTTTCTTTCTTTCTTTCTTTCTTTCTTTCTTTCTTTCTTTCTCCTCTCCTCCTTCCCTTCCTCCTTCCCTTTCTTTTTCCTTTCTTTGTTCCTTTTTCTCACCTCCTTCAATCTCTCCTTCTTTCCTTCCTTCCTTCCTTTTATTTTTCCTTCCTTTCCCCCCTCCTTTCCTTTATTTTTCTTTCCTTCCTTCAATCGCCTTTTTCTTTCATTCTTTCCTTCCTTTCTTTTTCTCCCCTCCATCAATCTCTCCTTCCTTTTCCTGTACTTTTCCTTCCTTCCCTTTTCTCCTCCCTTCCCGTTCTTTTTCCTTCCTTCCTTCTTTTTCTTTTTCTCCCTTCCTTCAATCTTCTTTTCTTTTTTCTTTTCTTCCTTCCTTTTCCTCCCTCCTTCCTTCCTTTTCCTTTTCTTTCCTTCCTTTCTTTTCCTCCTTCAGTCTTTCCTTCCTTCCTTCCTTCCTTCATTTTTTTCTTCCTCTTGCTCTTTCTTTTTCCTTCCTTCCTTTCTTCCTTTTCCTCCCCTCCTCCCTCCCACCTTTCTTTTCCTTTCCTTCCTTTTCCTCCCCTCCTTCAATCTCTCTTGCCTTTCATCCTTCTTTCCTTCCCTTTTCTCCCTCCTTCCCTTTCTTTTTCCTTCCTTCCTTCTTTTCTTTTTCTCCCTTCCTTCAATCTTTTCTCTTTTTTCTTTCTTTCCTTCCTTTTCTTCCCTCCCTCCCTCCTTCCTTTTCCTTTTCTTTCCTTCCTTTCTTTTCCTCCTTCAGTCTTTCCTTCCTTCCTTCCTTCATTTTTTTCTTCCTCTTGCTCTTTCTTTTTCCTTCCTTCCTTTCTTCCTTTTCCTCCCCTCCTCCCTCCCACCTTTCTTTTCCTTTCCTTCCTTTTCCTCCCCTCCTTCAATCTCTCTTGCCTTTCATCCTTCTTTCCTTCCCTTTTCTCCCTCCTTCCCTTTCTTTTTCCTTCCTTCCTTCTTTTCTTTTTCTCCTCCTTCAATCTTTCTTTTTTCTTTCTTCCTCTTTTCTTCCCTCCCTCCCTCCTTCCTTTTCCTTTTTTTCCTTCCTTCTTTTCTCCTTCCTTCCTTCTTCCTTCTTCCTTCCTTCCTTCCTTCCTTCTCCTTCCTTTCCTTCCTTCCTTTTTCCTTCCTTCTTTTCTCCCTCTCCTTCTCCTTCCTTTTCTTTCTTCCTTCCTTCCTTTTCCTCCTCCTTCATCTCTCTTTCCTTCTTCTTTCTCTTCCTTCTCTCCCTTTCCCCTCCTTCCCTTTCTTTTTCATTCCTTCCTTCTTTTCTTTTTCTCCCTTCCTTCAATCTTCTTTTCTTTTTTCTTTCTTTCCTTCCTTCCTTCTTTTCTTTTCCTCCCTCCCTCTCTTCTTCCTTTTCCTGTTCTTTCCTTCCTTTCTTTTCCTCCCCTCCTTCAATCTCTCCTTCCTTCCTTCCTTCCTTCCTTCCTTCCTTCCTTCCAATGGCACTTATCCCATTTATTCTCATTTTCAGGCCTGTGAGAACGGGAGAGGGGCCATCCTCTTATCCGTGGCCCGGGGAAAAGTCTCCGAAGGGATTGACTTTGGTGAGTCTCTTATTATTCATTGCATCTCTCTCTAAACAAGGCCAGACTACAACTCCCAGCATTCTGCATCCATTGCTATATTTGCCAAGGCTGCTGGGCATTGAACTATCGTATGATGATGATGATGATTATTATTATTAATTGTATTAACCTCTAAACAAGACTGGACTACAACTCACAGCATTCTGCACTCATCGCTATATTTGCCAAGCCTTCTGGGCATTGAAATATTATTATTGTTATTATTATTATCATCACCATTATTAATTGTATGATCCTCTAAATAAGGCTGGACTACAACTCCCAGCATTCTGTACCCATCACTATATTTGCTAAGGCTGTTGGGCATTGAAGTATTGTATTATTATTAATTATTATTAATAGAATGACCCTCTAAACAAGGCCAGACTACAACTCCCAGCATTCTGTACCCATCACTATATTTGCCAAGGCTGCTGAATATTGAAGTATTGTATTGTTGTTGTTGTTGTTGTTGTTATTATCATCACCATTATTAATTGTATGATCCTCTAGACAAGGCCTGAATACAACTCCCAGCATTCTGTACCCATTGCTATATTTGCTAAAGCTGTTGGGCATTGATGTATTGTATTATTATTAATTATTATTAATAGAATGACCCTCTAAACAAGGCCAGACTACAACTCCCAGCATTCTTCTCCCATTGCTATATTTGCTAAGCCTGCTGATCATTGAAGTATATTATTATTATTATTATTAGTAGTAGTAGTAGTAGTAGTAGTAGTAGTAGTAGTAGCATGACCTTCGAAACAAGGCTGGACTACAACTCCCAGCATTCTGCTCCCATCGCTATAGTTGCCAAGCAGGGCTCCTGGCCATTGAAGTATTTATTATTATTATTATTATTCATTGTATGACCATCTAAAAAAAGCTAGGCCAACAACTCCCAGCATTCTGCTCCCATCACTATATTTGCTAAAGCTGCTGGACATTGAAGTATTATATTATTATTATTATTACTATTATTATTATTATTATTCATTGAATGACCCTGTAAACAAGGCTGGACTACAACTCCCAGCATGCTGCACCCATTGCTATATTTACTAAGGCTGCTGGGCATTGGAGTATTGTATTATTATTATTATTATTATTATTATTATTATTATTATTCATTGTATGACCCTCTAAACAAGGCTGGACTACAACGCCTAGCATTCTGCAACTATATTATTATTATTATTAGAACGACCCTCTAAACAAGGCCAGACTACAACTCCCAGCATTCTGCACCCATCACTATATTTGGCAAGGCTGCTGGGCATTGGAGTATTGTATTATTATTCATTGTATGACCCTCTAAGCAAGGCTGGACTACAAATCCCAACATTCTGCAACCATATTATTATTATTATTATTATTATTATTATTATTATTATTAGAATGACCCTCTAAACAAGGCCAGACTACAACTCCCAGCATTCTGCACCCATCCCTATATTTGGCAAGGCTGCTGGGCATTAGAGCATTGTATTATTATTCATTGTATGACCCTCTAAGCAAGGCTGGACTACAACTCCCAGCATTCAACCCCCATTATTATTTATTTATTATTATTATTATTATTATTCATTGTATGTCCCTCTAAACAAGGCTGGACTACAAATCCCAGCATTCTGCACCCATATTATTATTATTATTATTATTATTATTATTATTATTCATTGTATGTCCCTCTAAACAAGGCTGGACTACAAATCCCAGCGTTCTGCACCCATATTATTATTATTATTATTATTATTATTATTATTATTATTCATTGTATGTCCCTCTTAACAAGGCTGGACTACAAATCCCAGCGTTCTGCACCCATATTATTATTATTAGTATTATTATTCATTGTATGTCCGTCTAAACAAGGCTGGACTACAAATCCCAGCATTCTGCACCCATATTATCATTATTATTATTATTATTCATTGTATGTCCCTCTAAACAAGGCTGGACTACAAATCCCAGCATTCTGCACCCATATTATTATTATTATTATTATTATTATTATTATTATTCATTGTATGTCCCTCTAAACAAGGCTGGACTACAAATCCCAGCGTTCTGCACCCATATTATTATTATTATTATTATTATTATTATTATTATTATTCATTGTATGTCCCTCTGAGCAACTCCCAGCAAGCCGGGTTCTGGATGCAGAATGATGGGTTCTGGAAGCAGAATGATGGGAGTTGGAGTCCAGCCAAAGAGACGTGGCTCCTCTTTGACATTGACCAGTTCCACCCTTTTCTCCCTCCCAGTTCACCACTTCGGGAGGGCCGTGATCATGTTCGGCGTGCCTTACGTTTACACCCAGAGCCGCATCCTCAAGGTGAGCGACCTGGATCCCCGGGGTCAGTTGCACCCTCCGGGCTTGTTTACTTTGCCGTTTCCTTTCCTCTGAGGAGGTTTAATCCTGGCGGAGATTCCTGGGCCTTTGGCTCCTTGCAGCGGGCTGGACCGACTTCCTTCCGTAATCTCCTTCCAGGGATTAAGGAGCTTTTGGTGGCAGGGCGGCCTTGCAGAGCGGAGCGGAAAAGGCCCCGTCTGCTGCTCCTAAGATTGCATTCTTGGAGATTCTCTGGGATCTTGCAATGCGTGGCTGTTACCACCGGTCACTGCTTTGAGTCTGTTTTAGAGAGAAAAATTGTATTTTTATTTATTACTAGCTTGTGGACCCGGCGTTGCCCAGGTTTTTAGAGAAAGTGGGTAATGGCGGTTCCATATGCCAAGTTTGGTCTTTATTGGTCATTGGATAACGGCTGCATTGTTTTCAGGAAGTGAGTGAAGGTACTTGAAGTCCCATCATCCATGGTCCACCCTCCTCCAAACAGCAGCAGGATATAGAGTGGGTCATGGGGGCTCTGTGTGCCAAGTTTGGTCTTAATCAGTCATTGGATGAGGGTGGCTGTGGTTTCAGTAAGTGAGTGAAGGTACTGCAAGTCCCATCATCCAAAATCCATCCTCTTCAAACTGCAGCAGGATGTAGAGTGGGTCATGGGGGCTCTGTATGCCAAGTATGGTCTTAATCAGTCATCAGAAAGTGAGTGGAGGTACTGCAAGTCCCATCATCCATAGTCTGTTCTTCCCCAAACCTCACCAGAATGTTGAGTTGGCCATGGGAGCTCTCTGCGCCAAGTTTGGTCTTTATTGATATTTGGATGAGTGTTGCTGTGGTTTCAGGAAGTGAGTGAAGGTATTGCAAGTCCCATCATCATTGTCTGTCCTCCTCCAAACTGAAACAGGATGTAGATAGGGTCATGGGGGCTCTGTGTGCCAAGTTTGGTCTTGATTGGTCATTACATGAGGGTTGCAGAAATCTTTGGAAGGGAGTGGAGGTACTTGAAGTCCCATCATACATGGTCCACCCTCCTCCAAACTGCAGCAGGATGTAGAGTGGGTTATGAGGGCTCTGTGTGCCAAGTTTGGTCGGTCTTTGTCATTGGATGAGGGTCGCAGTGCTTTCAGTGAGTGAAGGTACTGCAAGTCCCATCATCCATGGTCAACCCTCCTCCAAGCTGCACCAGGATGTAGAGTGGGTCATGGGGGCTCTGATTGCCAAGTTTGGTTTTGATCAGTCATTGGATGAGGGTTGCAGCAGTCTTGGGAAGTGAGTGGAGGTACTTCAAGTCCCATCACTGTGGTCTATCCACCTCCAAACTGTACCAGGATGTAGAGTGGGTCTTGGAGCCTCTGTGTGCCAAGTTTGGTCTTTATCGGTCTTTGTTGGGGGCCACAGTGGTCTGTGGGAACCGAAGGGTTTGAAAGGACTACAAATCCCATAACCCGTTGTCTGTCCACTCCCAAATCGCACCAGGACGTAAAATGCATCATGGGGGTTTAGTCTAGTTTACTTTAGATCCCATTTCAGCTGGGTTTGGTGGGGTGTGAGTGAGTGGTCTATCCTCCACCAAACCGCACTAGGATATAGAGTAGGTCATGGGGCCTTTGTGTGCCAAATTTGGTCTTGATCCATTATTGTTTTGGGTTATGGTGCTCTCAGGAAGTGAGTTAAGGTACTGCAAGTCTCATCATCCATGGTCCATTCTTCATTAGGACATAAAGTGGTTCATGGGGGCTTTGCGTGTCAAGTTTGGTCCTGATCCGTCATTGGTTTGGGTCACAGAGGTCTCAGGAAGTGAGTGAAGGTACTCCAAATCCCATCATCCATGGTCCATCCTTCTCCAAACTGCACCAGGATATAAAATGGGTCATGGGGTCTTTGTGTCCCAAGTCTGGTCCTGATCCGTCATTGGTTTGGGTCGCAGCGGTCTCAGGAAGCGAGTGAAGGTACTCCAAATCCCATCATCCATGGTCCACCCTCCTCCAAACTGCATTAGGACATAAAGTGGGTCATGGGGCTTTGTGTGCCAATTTGGTCCTGATCCGCCATTGATTTGGGTCGCAGTGGTCTCAGGAAGTGAGTGAAGGTACTCCAAATCCCATCATCCATGGTCCATTCTTCTCCAAACAGCACCAGGACATTAAGCGGGTCCATGGTGGTTTTATGTGGCAAATTTGGTCCTGATCCATCATTGGTTTGGGTCGCAGTAGTCTCAGGAAGTGAGTGAAGGTACTCCAAATCCCATCATCCATAGTCCATTCATCTCCAAACTGCACCAGGACATATAGTGTGTCATTGGGGTTTTGTGTGTCAAGTTTGGTCCTGATCCGTCATTGGTTTGGGTCACAGTGGTCTCAGGAAGTGAGTGAAGGTACTCCAAATCCCATCATCCATGATCCATCCTCCTCCAAACTGCTCCAGGTCATAAAGTGGGTCATGGGGGCTTTGTGTGCCAAGTTTGGTCCTGATCCGTCATTGGTTTGGGTCGCAGTGGTCTCAGGAAGTGAGTGAAGGTACTCCAAATCCCATCATCCATGGATACCGGAACCTGTGGATACCGAGGACCGGTTGTACTGTTTGCTCTCCTTCTTAGGCGCGCCTGGAGTACTTGAGGGACCAGTTCCAGATCCGGGAAAACGACTTCCTCACCTTCGACGCCATGCGCCATGCAGCCCAATGCGTGGGGCGCGCCATCCGGGGAAAGACCGACTACGGCCTCATGGTCTTTGCGGACAAGGTGGGAGGAAGCTCAGGGCGAGAGGGCAGCCTTGGAAAGATATGTGTGTGTGTGTTTATGTATATGTGTATATATGTGTGTGTGTGTAGGAGGGAGAGAGAGAAAATCCTAGCGTTGGAAGGGGACCCCCAAAGGCCATCTAGTCCTTCCTGACTTCCTTCCTTCCTTCCTTCTTCCTGTCCTTCCCTCCATCTTTCCTTCCTTATTTCTCTTTCCTTCCTTTTTTCTTTCTTCCTTTTCTTTCCTTCATTCTTCCCTCTCCCTCCCTCCTTCCTTCTTTTTTCTCTCTCCTTCCTTCCTTCTTTCTTTCCTTCCTTCTTTCCTTCCCTCCATCTTTCCTTCCTTCCTTCCTTTCTTATTTCTCTTTCCTTCCTTTTTTCTTTCTTCCTTTTCTTTCCTTCATTCTTCCCTCTCCCTCCCTCCTTCCTTCCTTCCTTTTCCTTTTATTTATTTATTTAATTAATTATTTAATTATTTATTTACTGCATTTGTTGACCGCCGTCCTCAGCCCTAGGGCGACTCACGGCGGTGTACAACATATAAAAAGACAATTTACAATGAAAGCAATATCATAAACAACAATAACAACATCACTATTAATAATACCATTACACTAAATCATTCGCGACGTCTCATCATAGAATCACAATCCAATCTCGTTATCCATATTCCGTTCCACTCATCATTGCCAATTTGTTGTAGCACTTAGTCAAACGCCTTCTCAAACAACCACGTCTTTAGGCTCTTGCGGAATGTCATAAGGGAGGGCGCCTGTCTGATGTCTACAGGGAGGGTGTTCCACAGCCGGGGGGCCACCACCGAGAAGGCCCTATCCCTCGTCCCCGCCAGGCGTGCCTGTGAGGGTGCGGCCCTCCAGAAATGACCGGAGCCACTGCAGAACAGGATGGGCAGGGGTCTAGGATGGACGTAGTGGGCCTCATTCCTCCAAGTATCTTGTCCACATCCTCGGGCTTCACAAATTGAAAAGAATCCATCAAAATAGGACAAGCAGGTGCTCGTGTCACATCCTCAGAGACTGCATTTAACATGGTGTCCAGACCAGAACGGATCAAAGCGACTTTGTCTGCAAAGAACCGAGCAAATGCTTCGCAGCGCGTGGCCGAATTGTCAGGGCTCCCGCCTGAGGTGGCGGGAGTTAAAAGACCTCTGACAATCCGGAACAACTCCGCCGGACGGTTCCTTGCAGACGCAATAGTGGCCGCAAAGAAAGTTTTCTTTGCGGCTTTTATTGCCGCGGCATATGCCCTTAAAAAGGACACAAACCGTGTTCGATTTGCCTCGCTCGGACTTTCCTTACCTCTTTTTCTCTCCTTCCTTCCTTCCTTCCTTCCTCCTTCCCTTCCTTCCTTCATTCCTTCCTTCCTTCCTTCCTTCCTTCCTTCCTTCCTTCTTTTCTTCCTGCCTTCCTTCCTTATTTCTTTCTTTCTTTCTTTCTTTCTTTCTTTCTTTCCTTCCTTCCATCCTTCTTTCTTTCCTTCCTTCTTTCCCTCCCTCCGTCTTTCCTTCCTTCCTTCATTTCTCTTTCCTTCCTTTTTTCTTCCTTTTCTTTCCTTCATTCTTCCCTCTCCCTCCCTCCTTCCTTCCTTCCTTTTACTTTCTTTCCTTCTTTCCGTCTTTCCTTCCTTCCTTATTTCTCTTTCCTTCCTTTCTTCTCCTTTTTCTTCCTTCCTTCCCTCTCCTCCTTCCTTCTTTTTCCTTTTCTCTCCTTCCTTCCTTCCCTTCCTTCCTTCTTTCTCTCCTTCCTTCCTTCCTTCCTTCCTTCCTTCCTCTTCTCTCCTTCCTTCCTTCATTCTTCTTCTTTCTTTCTTTCCTTTCCTGCCACATGTGCAGATCCAAGTAGGGTGGCTTTTTGCAGCTGGGTGGTGGTAACTTAGTCAGTGCCTATTGTTTTTAAGTGCAGGCCAAGGTCTTTAGGCACTGCACCTAGTTTGCACCCAGTTTGCCCATCACCACTGGGACCACCTTGTCAGGAGTGAATTTCTGACGGCATGAATATATCCATTTCAAAGCAAAAACGGCTTGTGAGTGGTTATTTAATATTGTTATATAGATCCTACAGTCTGACACACCTTGACTGCTTTATTATTATTATTATTATTATTATTATTATTATTAGGCCATCTAGTCCAATCCCAGCCTTTCCAGGCAGGAAGACACCATCCAATCCCTCTGGGCAGATAGCCATCCATCCAGCTTCTAGTTTAGTACATATCTAGAGAAGGGGAATCCACCAAACTCCAAAGCAATCTCTGTCCCACTAAGGCAGTCTGTATCCTGCTAGAGTTGGAAGGGACCCCCAAAGGCCATCCAGTCCAACCCTTTTCAGTGTTAAAGGAGGACACCATTCAATCCCTCCCAGCAGATGGCCGTCCCGCTATGACACTGGTTGTTTTCCCAACAGCGCTTCGCCCGAGCCGACAAGCGCGGCAAGCTTCCCCGCTGGATCCAGGAGCACATCACGGACGCCAACCTCAACTTGACGCTGGATGAGGCCGTGCAAGTCGCCAAGTACTTCCTGCGGCAGATGGCCCAGCCCTTCCGGAAGGTGAGGCCGAGAGAGTGGCACCTGTCACATGTCAGGGAAAGCAAAGCAGGATACTGGTGGTCACACCATGACGCTTGGAAGGGTTACATGCCAATCTCAACCATTCCGAACCATTTAAAGTAGTAAGATTAATAATAATAATAATAATAATAATAATAATAATAATAATAATAATAATTTTATATCCCAATACTAATAACATCCCAGTAATAATAATATATCCCAATAATATAACCCAATACTAATACTAATAATTATTATATAATAATATATCCCAATACTAATAACATCCCAATAATAATAATATATCCCAATACTAATACTAATAAATTATTATTATTATTATTATTGAGATATATTATTATTACTGGGATGTTATTAGTATTGGGATATATTATTATCATTATTATGATTGGGGTGTTATTATTATTCTTATTGGAATATATTATTATTATTGGGATGTTATTAAGATTAGTATTGGGATATTATTATTATTATTATTATTATTATTATTATTATTATTATTGGAATGTTAGCAGTAGTAATTGTATTGGGATGATACAATTGGGATGTTATTGGGATGTTGTTATTAAGATTATTATTGGGATATATTCTTATTAGGATATTTTGTTATTATTATTATTATTGGGATATATTTAAGTATTAATACTACGGTGTATTGTTGCAATATTATTATGTTTTATCATTATTTTTGGGATTTATTTATTTATTTATTTTACTATAGATTAGGATTAATATTGGGAGGTATTCTTAGGATATATTATTACTATTATTGGATTATATTATTTGCATTATTAGTATTGAGATATAGTACTACTATTTCTGGGATGTTCTCAGTAACAGTATTGAGATATATTATTATTAGGATGTTTTATTATTATTATTGGGATATATTAGAAGTGTTCGTTTTGGGATATATTATGTTATGAGTATTAATATTGGGATATATTTAGTATTGGGAAATTATTATTATTATTATTATTATTATTATTACTGAGATGTTATTAGTATTCTTATTGGACTATATTATTATTATTGGGATGTTATTAAGATTAGTATTGGGATATTATTATTATTATTATTATTATTATTATTATTATTATTATTGGAATGTTAGTATTAGTAATTGTATTGGGATGATACTAGTATTAGTATTGGGATATATTGTTATTGGGATATTGTTATTACGATTATTATTGGGATATAGTCTTAAGAGTGTTTATTATTATTGGGATTTATTTATTTATTTATACTATATATTAGGATTAATATTGGGATATATTCTTAGGATATATTATTATTATTATTATTATTATTATTATTATTATTATTATTGGGATGCTATGAAGATTAGTATTGGGATATATTATTATTATTATTGTTATTATTATTGGAATGTTATTAATAGTATTGGGATGATACTAGTATTAGTATTGGGATATATTGTTATTGGGATATTGTTATTAAGATTATTATGGAGATATATTCTTTTTAAGATTATTATTATTATTATTATTATTATTATTATTATTATTATTATGAAAAGTGGTAGTTATATTGGGATATTATTATTACTATTGAGATGTTATTAGTATTTTTATTGGAATATATTATTATTGGGATGTTATTAAGATTAGTATTGGGATTTATTATTATTATTGTTATTATTATTATTATTATTATTATTATTATTATTATTATTATTATTATTGGAATGTTAGCAGTAGTAATTATATTGGGATGATACTAGTTTTAGTATTGGGATATATTGTTATTGGCATGTTGTTATTAAGATTATTAAGATTATTAAGATTATCGAAGGAAGAGGGAACTAGAGAGCGTGTGGCGTTCGGATCCGAGCGAGTCAAATCGAGCACGGTTTGTGTCCTTTTTAAGGGCATATGCCGCGGCAATAAAAGCCGCAAAGAAAACTTTCTTTGCGGCTACTATTGCGTCTGCAAGGAACCGTCCGGCGGAGTTGTTCCGGATTGTCAGAGGTCTTTTAACTCCCGCCACCTCAGGCGGGAGCCCTGACAATTCGGCCACGCGCTGTGAAGCATTTGCTCGGTTCTTTGCAGACAAAGTCGCTTTGATCCGTTCTGGGCTGGACACCACATTAAATGCAGTCTCTGGGGATGTGACACAAGCACCTGCTTGTCCTATTTTGATGGATTCTTTTCAGTTTGTGAAACCCGAGGATGTGGACAAGATACTTGGAGGAATGAGGCCCACCACGTCCATCCTAGACCCCTGCCCATCCTGCCTTCTGAAGGAGGCCAGAGGGGGATTGGCTGAGTGGGTAACGGTGGTGGTTAATGCCTCCCTTCGGGAAGGCAAGATTCCAGCGAGCTTAAAACAAGCTATTATAAAACCGCTGTTGAAGAAACCATCACTGGACCCCACTCAATTCGTCAACTATCGGCCTGTTTCCAATCTCCCCTTCTTGGGCAAAGTCATGGAACGTGGTGGCCTCACAACTCCAGGCATTCTTGGTAGACACGGATTATCTGGATCCGGCACAGTCTGGGCTTTAGGCCGGGGCATGGTACCGAGACAGCCTTGGTCGCCTTAGTGGATGATCTGCGCCGGGAGCTAGACAGGGGGAGTGTGTCCCTGTTGGTGCTCCTGGACCTCTCAGCGGCCTTCGATACCGTCGACCACGGTATTCTTCTGGGACGCCTTGCGGAGATGGGACTTGGGGGCACTGCTTTGCAGTGGCTCCAGTCATTTCTGGAGGGTCGTACCCAGAAGGTGTTGTTGGGGGACTCCTGTTCAACACCACAGCCTTTGACCTGTGGGGTTCCTCAGGGCTCCATCCTGTCCCCCATGCTGTTTAATATCTACATGAAGCCGCTGGGTGAGATCATCCGGAGTTTCGGGGTGCGGTGTCACCTGTACGCAGATGACGTCCAACTCTGTCACTCCTTCCCACCTGCTACTAAGGAGGCTGTCGAAGTCCTGAACCGGTGCCTGGCCGCTGTAATGGTCTGGATGAGGGCGAACAAACTGAAATTAAATCCAGACAAGACAGAGGTACTCCTGGTCAGTCGTAAGGCCGAACAGGGTATAGGGTTACAGCCTGTGCTGGACGGGGTCGCACTCCCCTTGAAGGCGCAGGTTCGCAGCTTGGGTGTGACCCTGGATTCATCGCTGAGCCTGGATCCCCAGGTTTCAGCGGTGACCAGGGGAGCATTTGCACAGCTTAGGCTCGTGCGCCAGCTGCGCCCGTACCTTGGGAAGTCGGACTTGGCCACGGTGGTACACGCTTTGGTCACATCCCGCCTTGACTACTGCAACGCTCTCTACGTGGGGCTGCCCTTGAAGATGGCCCGGAAGCTCCAGCTAGTCCAGCGCGCGGCAGCCATGTTACTAACGGGAGCAGGACGCAGGGAGCATACAACGCCCTTGTTGTCCCAGCTCCATTGGCTGCCGATTTGCTACCGGGCCCAATTTAAGGTGCTGGTGTTATCCTACAAAGCCCTAAACGGTTCCGGCCCAAAATACCTTGCGGACCGCATCTCGGCCTACGAGCCCACGAGGACCTTGAGATCATCTGGGGGGGCCCTTCTCTCGGTCCCGCCTGCCTCACAGGCACGCCTGGCGGGGACGAGAGCGGGCCTTCTCGGTGGTGGCCCCCCGGCTGTGGAACTCCCTCCCCGCTGAAATTAGACAGGCGCCCTCCCTCATGGCCTTTCGTAAGGGCCTGAAAACATGGCTTTTCGAGATGGCCTTCAACTAAGTGCTATGTTATCGGATTTGACGACCGGAACGGACTATTACTATGAAACTGATTATGTCCCCATAACAAGACGAAGCGGATTTTTAGTATAGTTAGATGTTATGTATTAATAGAGTGTTGTTTTGTTGTCATGACTTATTGTAAATTGTCTTTTCTATGTTTTGTACACCGCCACGAGTCGCCCTAGGGCTGAGAGTGGCGGTTAATAAGTGCAAGAAATAAATAAAATAAATAAATAAATTATTGGGATATATTCTTTCTAAGATTATTATTATTATGAAAAGTGGTAGTTATATTGGGATATTATTATTATTATTATTGAGATGTTATTAGTATTTTTACTGGAATATATTATTATTGAGATGTTATTAAGATGAGTATTGGGATATATTATTATTATTATTATTATTGGAATGTTAGCAGTAGTAATTATATTGTGATGGTACTAGTTTTAGTATTGGGATATATTGTTATTGGGATGTTGTTATTAAGATTATTATTGGGATATATTCTTAGGGTGTTTATTACCTGAGATGCAGGTTTTGGAAACGACGTTCGTAACCCAGGAACAAAAATCATGTTGCAAAGTGTTATTTGAGTATTTGGGAAATGCTTTTACCTGCATTCTCACCTGTGTTTTGCTCCTTTTCCATCAGGAAGACCAGTTGGGCCTTTCGCTGTTGACTTTCGAGCAGCTGCAGTCGGAGGAGACGCTGCGCAAAGTGCAGGAGATCGCACACCAAGTGTGAGGCCAACTTGGGAAGAAAAAGGCACCTAGAACCAAGGAATCTGGGTTCTAGATTCAAAGGGACACCAATGAAGCTAGAACAGTGAACTGAGGAAATCTGGGTTCTAGATTCAAACAGCCTTCCAATTAGAGACAGAATCTGGAACCCAGATTCCTCAGTTCTAGATTCAAAGAACCCGCACCATCTGCAGGGCGAACAATGCTGCATTTTCTCAATTGGTAGCAAGCAAAAGAGTGTTGGAACATTTCTTTCTTTTGCACTGACTCTGGACTCTTCATTTCGGAACATGGTTTCGGATTTTGTATTAAAGGGATTTGCAATTTTTTTTGAGCAACCGAAGTGTCTCCCTTCTAACTGTGATGGAGAATGTGAGCGTTTAGCACCTTGCTGCATGCATGTTTTAAGGAGCATTGCATTACTGGTTCTAACTATATGGGTTTTGCCATTGTTATGTTTTGTTATGGGGGTGTGAAAGCAGAGGTTGGATGGCCGTCTGTCAGGAGGGATTCAATTGTGTCTTCTGTCAGACAGAAGGGGACCGGACTGGATGACCTTTGGGGGTCCCTTCCAACACTAAGATTATCTATCTAATGTATTTCTTATGGGCTGGACTCCCTCCAACTCTAGGAGTCTATACCTGTGTATTTCAGGGGATGGCGTAGATGACCTTTGGGGTTCCTTTCCAACTCTAGGATTGTCTGTCTGTCTGTCTATCTATCTATATCTTAGGGGTTGGACTTCTCCAAACTCTAGGATTGTATATCTATGTATTTCTTGGGGGATTGACTAGATGACCTTTGGGGATCCCTTCCAACTCTAGGATTCTATATATGTATTTCTAAGGGGTTGGACTGGATGACCTTTATGAGTTCCTCCTAACTCTGGGATTCTATATCTATCTAACTAGTTGTCTATGTATTGTTTAGAGGATGGACTGGATGACCTTTGGGGATCCCTTCCAACTCTAGGATTATCTATCTATCTATAGATGTATTTCTTAGGGGTTGGACTGGATGACCTTTAGGGGGTACCTTCCAACAAGAGGATTCCCTATCTATCATCTATTTATCTATGATATTTCTTAGGGGTTGGACTGGATGACCTTAAGGGGTTCCTCCCAACTCAAGGATTCTCTATGTATTCTTTGGAGGTTGGACTAGATGACCTTTGTGGGTCCCTTCCAACTCTAGGATTCTCTGTCTATCATCTATCTATCTATGTATTCTTTGTAGGTTGGACTGGATGACCTTTGGGGGTCCCTCCCAACTCTAGGATCCTCTATCTATCTATGTATTCTTTGGAGGTTGGACTAGATGACCTTTGTGGGTCCCTTCCAACTCTAGGATTCTCTGTCTATCATCTATCTATCTATGTATTCTTTGAAGGTTGGACTGGATGACCTTTAGGGATCCCTCCCAACTCTAGGATTCTCTATCTATGTTTGTATTCTTTGGAGGTTGGACTGGATGACCTTTAAGGGTCCCTCCCAACTCTAGGACTCTCTATCTATCTATCTATCTATTCTTTGGAGGTTGGACTGGATGACCTTTGGGGGTCCCTCCCAACTCTAGGATTGTATATCTATCTATCTATTCTTTGAAGGTTGGACTGGATGACGTTTGGGGGTCCCTCCCAACTCTAGGATTCTACATCTACCTATTCTTTGGAGGTTGGACTGGAGGACCTTTGGGAGTCCCTCCCAACTCTAGGATTCTCTATCTATCTATGTGTTTTTTGGAGTTTGGACTGGATGACCTTTGGGGGTCCCTCCCAACTCTAGGATTATCTATCTATCTATGCATTCTTTGGAGGTTGGACTGGATGACCTTTGGGGGTCCCTCCCAACTCTAGGATTCTCTATCTATCTATGTATTTTGGAGGTTGGACTGGATGACCTTTGGGGGTTCCTCCCAACTCTAGGATTCTCTATCTACCTATTCTTTGGAGGTTGGACTGGATGACCTTTAGGGGTCCCTCCCAACTCTAAGATTCTCTATCTATCTATTTTTTGGAGGTTGGATTGGCTGACCTTTGGGGGTCCCTCCCAACTCTAGGATTCTCTATCTATCTATTTTTTGGAGGTTGGACTGGATGACCTTTAGGGGTCCCTCCCAACTCTAGGATTCTCTATCTATCTATTTTTTGGAGGTTGGATTGGCTGACCTTTGGGGGTCCCTCCCAACTCTAGGATTCTCTATCTATTTTTTGGAGGTTGGACTGGATGACCTTTGGGGGTCCCTCCCAACTCTAGGATTCTCTATCTATTCTTTGGAGGTTGGACTGGATGACCTTTAGGGATCCCTCCCAACTCTAGGATTCTCTATCTACCTATGTACTCTGAAGGTTGGACAGGATCACCTTTGGGGGTTCCTCCCAACTCTAGGATTCTCTATCCATCTATGCATTCTTTGGAGCTTGGACTGGATGACCTCTGGGGGTCCCTCCCAACTCTAGGATTATCTATCTATCTATCTATCTATTCTTTGGAGGTTGGACTGGATGACCTTTGGGGATCCCTCCCAACTCTAGGATTCTCTATCTATCTATTCTTTGGAGGTTGGACTGGATGACCTTTGGGTGTCCTTTCCAACTCTAGGATCCTCTATCCATCTATCATCTATCTATTTACGTATTCTTTGGAGGCTGGACTAGATGGCCTTTGGGGGTCCCTCCCAACTCTAGGATGCTCTATTTCTCTATCTGTGTAATCTTTGGAGCTTGGACTGGATGACCTTTGGGGGTCCCTCCCAACTCTAGGATGCTCTATCCATTTATCATCTATCTATCTATGTATTCTATGGAGGTTGGACTAGATGATTTTTAGGGGTTCCTCCCAACTCTAGGATTCTCTATCTATCTATTGTTTGGAGGTTGGACTAGATGACCTTTGGGGGTTCCTCCCAACTCTAGGATTCTCTCTCTATGTATATATGTATCTATCTATCTATGAGAAGATTCCAAATGTTAGACAGTATATATATATAGATATATTTTATTGAGGGATTAGTTGAGGGAGGGGTGGGGGTCCCTGATGCATAAATAAGAATAATAAATAGGAGGTCCTCCTGGGGCGCCAGCGGCCTGCTCCTGCTGCTCAAAAAAGAGTTTTAAGGCAGTCGAGAGTGTTTTTGTGCTGCTTTCCTTTTCCTGAGAAAGTAAGAATAGCCTCCGGCCTCGGCGCTGGCCTTCCTCGCAGGGTGGGCGGGCGGCGGGCAGGAGTGACCGTCTCTGCCCTGTTTGTTGCAAAGGAAGCAAGGCCAGGCTCCGTTCCGGGCAAAAGAGGAATGACTTTGGTCCAGCCTCGGGCGGAGAAGGTTTGGGGGTCAGCGCCGGTGCTGCATCCTAAGTGGAACTGCTATGCGGAAGGTCCTGAGTGCTGGAGCTCAAGCTTCTTGTACTGGTCAAGGGGCTGCGGGGCTGCTGGACGAGAGAAAAACACACAAGTTGGATTCAGGGGTGCATTATATCTGTGTAATACGGTACTCTTTTTTGTTAGGAATACCCTATTTTTCCTGTCGTAGTCACTGTGAATCTGCACCAATGGTATTCCTGCGCCTGCGCAGTAAAGCTTCGGAACCTTCCAGAATAAAATAGATATTACAAAAAATTAAGCCTGGCCCCGCCCCACCTCCCCCCTCCCCTCTCGAGTATATAGCCCAACGCGGGGCCAGGCCACTCAGTTCTCTTGATCCGCCTCGCGTTGGCTAGAGAACCTTCCTCGTGCTCTGACTCGTTGGCTTTTACTGCTCGTGTGATTTTGGACTTTGACTTGGACTTTGACTCGGACTGGCTCACTATTCTCCTCTCCGGACTCCTGACACTGGACTTCTTTGACTATTCTTTGCGCAACCCCAGGACTTGGCGATCTGAGTTCCGTGCGTAGGGAGCTCTGCTATATCCAACTCGATCGGATGGCGACCACATCTTTTAAGAAGTGTTCTCAATGCCCAAACACCCTTCCGGATACGGACGGGCATTCTCTGTGCCTCACTTGCCTGGGGGAAGCCCATCTTTCCCAACCATGTAAGGTTTGCCAAGCCTTCACTCCCCAGACCCGAAAGAATAGGGTCTCCAGGCTGAAGGCCGCTCTTTATGAAAAGGCTCTTCTCCCGCCCGTTGGAGTGACTAAGGCCGTAAAATCGGCCGACTTACCTGGACCTAGATCGGTTCAACATGGCGCCCCAACCAAGAAGAAGGCTAAAAAGCCCAAGGAGGMTTCCCTCCAAGATGGCAGCCGGGCTCCGGCACGACCAGTTAGCCCTGCAAAAAGGGCGGGAAATCCGTCAGCGRTCCTCTCCCCCCCTACGCGCCTTCCAGCGACGCAGCAGCGTGGAGAACGTGCAACTCCTCTGGCATCCCCTGAGCTCCGCCTTCGGATTGCGGGACCTATGCAAACTCCGCCTCAGATGATTGCGTCCCTGCCGGCTGCGGCGCGGAGTGGAGAGGCGCCTCCTCCGATCTCGGCGCAGGCGCTCCCAGCGATGGGAGCTCAGGCCTCGGAGCCCACTCTTTCCATGCAGGCTGTGGGCCCGCAGAGCGATTCCCCGCTGCCGCCGATGCCGTCCCTCACTCCCCCGATGTCGGGGGAACTGACAGAGCAGCCGGCGGAAGTGCCTTTTCGGGACCTTGATGCCGTCGATCAGCAGTCCTTGCTGACATCGGGCTCAATCCCCTCTGGGGGCGGGGTCTCAGCCCCTCAACAAATGGCGGGCCCCGCCTCCTCGGTCTTTGGAGAGGTTTCTCTGCAGCCCATAGCCTCCTCCTCCGCATCGGGACCGGGACAGGTCCCCACCTGCGAAGAGGCATCCCAGTTTGCGGTACCGGGACAGCGCATCGTGGGGAGAGCCAGACGCGCTCGCTCCCCATCCCGATCCTCTAGGAGCTCCAGGCGGCGCCGTCGACAGACGTCTTCGTCCTCATCTTCCTCCTCCTCATCAGGCTCTTCCAGGAGGAGGCGCAGATCGAGATGGTCCCGATCCTCCTCCCGTCGGGGACCTCGCAGGCCTGCTCCACCCCCTGCAACTTTGCCATACGGGGGCTTTTGGCAGATTTCTCCGGCTGGACAATATGTGTTCGTGCCCACACCTGGGCCCCTTCAACCCTCTTTTCCGCTCTCTTCTACGCCAGCTGGGATTCCCCCGATGCAAGGGAGCAGCCTACCGGTGGCCCCTCACCCCTCCCAGGGGCAATTGTCAACCCATACGGTGGCCCCTCCCCTGCCTCAGCCTGGACCAGGATCTGCTGCACTGCAAGGTATGGGAGGCTTGACTTTACCTCTACCTACGGCTCAAACCTCCTCTTTGACTCCTGCGAGGCCCAATGGAGAGCTGCAACACCTCACCACTCCCGACCCTGTGGACATTGATGAACCTATCGAGATTGATCACAGGGTGGTGGAAGCTGAGGCCTCTGATTCGGCCTCCGACTTGCCTGACACTGCTCAGGTGACGGGGGCAGCAGATGAGCCTATAGAAAGGTCCCCTGAGTTCAATAAGTTCGCCTCGCTTGTAGGCAGGATGATTAAGGCGCTAGAGTTGCCTGACCCTAAACCTTCTGAACATGTGGAGGACCCCATGTTTCCTTCAGACGAGCAAAATGTTGTGTCCTCCACATCCCTCCCCCCCTTACCTTACTTGCTTAAGTTGGCCAGAATTTCAGATGTCCCCCCCCCTATGGTAGCGGCAGTACCTAGAAGAGTGGATATGATGTATAAGATTGATCTGTCCACTGCTAGATGGGTGACCAACCCCCCCAGACCGAACACGGTGGTGGCCGAGGTGGCTAAGACCAGGCGCCAGAAAGGATCCCTGACCGCACCACCAGATAGGGAGGGAAGGAAGGTTGATTCATTAGGTAGGAAAATTCATCTTTCGGCAGGGTTGATCACAAGAATGGCCCACTTTGCAACGTACATGAGTGGGTATCAGAATTTCTTGTGGTCAAAGATTCGCCCCTATCTTGATTTGTTGCCGGCTGAGGAACAACGGTGGCCTAAAGCATTACAGGAGGAGGCCATTATTTTGTCTAGGCTCCAGAAGGATTTCGCCAAGCACCTGGCTGAAACAGCCGGTAACCTCTTTGCCACCGCCACCTCCGTCAGACGGCATGCGTGGCTCCGGGCTGCTAATCTTTCAGATGAAGGCAAAGCCTTGGCCGAGGACCTTCCACTTCATGTGGAGGGGCTATTTAATCCGGAAACCGATGAAAAACTGAAAAGCAAGCAGGAAGTCCGCCAGGCGGCGAGTAAATTTGGCTATACTTGGCAGCCCAATTACCAGGCAAAACCTAGGTGGCAACAACAACACTCTCCTGGTTTCCGTAGAAATTATTCAAATAGCCCTGCGGGGTCTTATAGAAACCGTGGTTCAAATTCATCTCGGTTCCAGACAGGGAGAAGATTCCCCTATGCGCCGAAATCAAGATACCAACCGTTTCAGAACAAGACCAGGTCTCAGCCCGCCTCTAAGAAGCGTGTTTGACATTTGCTCTGATGCTTCAGATGACCGGTCTGCCYCTGTTGACCCGTTCGGGTCGTCGTTATGTTGTTTGGCAACCGTGGCTCCTAGTGCTCCTTGCACTCTATCGTTTTATGAGAGACTGTCTCCATACTATGAGGCTTGGGCTTGCATCACATCGGATGTCTGGGTCCTGTCTATAGTCAGGAACGGTTATAGAATTGAATTTGAGGACACCCCTCCCACGGGTGGGGCGATATCCACACCTGTTTCGTTACCATTGTTGCAGGAGGTTCAGACTCTCTTGTCTAAGGGGGCCATTTCAATTGTTAGCCCTGCTATGTTTCGTTTTTGTTTTTTCTCTCGCTACTTTCTTGTTAATAAAAGAGGTGGAGGCTTTCGGGCCATCATGGATCTCAGAGCCCTCAATAAACACATTTCTCCGAAAAGATTTCGCATGGTTACTTTGTCCACCATTTTGCCTCTGTTGTTTCGGGGTGCCTGGTTCGCTACGGTGGATTTGAGAGACGCCTATTTTCATATCTCCATTGTCCCACACCACCGTAGGTTCCTAACATTCATGGTGGGGCAATTTGCTTATTGCTACAATGTCCTACCCTTTGGTCTTTCGACGGCCCCCAGGGTTTTCACCAAATGTATGTCGGTGGTTGCTGCGCACCTCCGCACTAAGGGAATAACGGTCTACCCCTATATAGACGACTGGCTTATTGTCGCCAGTTCACCTGACTTGCTTAACAGACACGTATCTGTCATTCTCTCCTTACTTCAGTCTCTAGGTCTGGTCGTCAACCTGGAGAAGTCCTCCCTCACCCCGTCTCGTCGGATCCAGTTTATCGGGGCACTACTGGACTCCGTCTCCCAGAGGGCCTATCTACCTCCAGATCGCTTCACCAAACTGGCGGAACTGGTCAACCACGTCATAACAGCTCCCAGGATCTCAGCCAGACAAATTCAAGTTTTGTTGGGGCATATGGCGTCAACTACGGCTGTTACCCCCTATGCCCGACTGAGAATGCGGCCCCTACAATTCTGGTTTCTCTCAGTGTTCAACCCCCTCAGGGACAAACCCACCATCAAATTAACTGTCCCTGCAGATATCCGGCAGTCCCTGTCGGAGTGGAGGGACAAGCACTGGGTTTGTGCGGGTCTTTCATTCCAATCCCCGTCCCCTGCCAGGTCTATAACCACGGATTCCTCCCTTACGGGGTGGGGGGCGCATTCCCAGGGTCTGCTGGTCCAGGGTGTATGGACAAACGAAGAAGCCGCCATGCATATAAACATGCTCGAACTTCTGGCCGTAGACAAAGCCCTAAAGGCTTTCGAAAGGGTGGTGTCCGGAAAAACCATTCAAGTACTCACCGACAACACCACGGTGATGTACTACTTAAACAAGCAGGGAGGCACTCACTCGGGGCCACTGCTAAACCTGTGTTTACAGATATGGGATTGGTGCATCTCCAGGGGAATTCACCTCCTAGTCACTCATCTTCCCGGGATCGACAACGGCCTCGCGGACACGCTCAGCAGGAACCCCATGGCCCACCACGAGTGGTCGCTGAATTGGGAAGTAGTCCACGAGTTATTCAATCATTGGGGGATTCCAGAAGTGGACCTATTTGCAACGCACCTGAACAACAAGTGCAGGATCTATTGTGCCCGTTGCCACCCGAATCCATTGATAGGTTGCCTGGGAGATGCTTTCCAGCACAACTGGGGGGGCAGGCTGGTATATGCCTTCCCTCCGTTTCCCTTGTTAGTGAGAGTGATCGCAAAAATCAGGAGGGACAACGCAGTTTGTATACTGGTAGCCCCATGGTGGCCCCGACAGCCTTGGTTTGCCCCTCTCCTTCAGTTGGCGGGGGACAGGTTCCTTCACCTTCCGGACAGGCCCGATCTACTTCTATCCCAAGGGGGTCAAGTGGTGTACCCGGACGTCAGGTTACTGAATCTCACGGCGTGGTACATTCTGCCCGCGCCGTAGATACGTTCTCGGAACTGTCGCAGCCTGTTTTAGCGATCATCGAGGCCGCGCACAGACCGTCCACCAAGAGGTCTTACCTTTATAAGTGGGGTAGATTTGCTAAGTTTGCGGCCTCAAAAGGTGTCACCCCGGATTTGGCCCCCACCTCTCTAGTCTTAGACTTCTTAGTTTCGCTTTTGGATGCTGGGCTTTCGAGTTCTTCTTTAAAATGTTACTTAGCTGCCATTTCGTGGTTTAAAAGGAAAGCCGGCTTACCTTCTTGTTTTTTGGATCCTTTGGTGAAGTCTTTTCTACGAGGTCTTGCAAACACTAAGCCTTGTGTAGCACCTGTCGCTCCTTCTTGGAGCCTCGAACTAGTGCTTGCGGCTCTAATGAGACCTCCGTTTGAGCCACTGGCAACAGTGGATCTCCCCTATTTGTCTTGGAAGGTGGCGTTTTTGATGGCCATCACGTCTGCACGGCGGGCCAGTGAACTATGTGCACTCAGAGTGGATCCTCCTTACCTGAGGTTTCATAAAGATAAAGTGGTTTTACGTACTGATGTTGCTTTCTTACCTAAAGTTTCCACCAAGTTCCACATGTCCCAGGAAATTGTCCTCCCTTCGTTTTTTCAGAATCCCTCTTCCCAGTTGGAGAAAGGCTTGCACCTTCTGGACGTGAGGAGGGCTGTAGCTTTTTATGTAGATAGGACGGCCGGGATTAGGAAAACTCCCAGGTTCTTTATTAAATATCGTAGTGATGCCAGGGGTTTGCCGTTGTCCTCGCAGCGTTTTTCCTCCTGGGTGGTGTCCCTCATTCGTTTGTGTTATCAGTTATCGGGCAAGGACTTACCTTTGCAGGTCAAGGGTCATTCGACTAGGTCGGTTTCCACGTCTATTGCTTTCTTACGTGGTGTTCCCTTGGATGTCATCTGTAAGGCTGCAATATGGTCGAATCCACTTACCTTTGTCTCACACTATAAGTTGGATGTCGTTTCCAGGAGGGCGGCTGATTTTGGGAGAGCAGTGTTGTTTTCGGCGGTGGCATGATCCCCGCCAGCCAGGGTCAGTAGCTTGTTAGTCTACCATTGGTGCAGATTCACAGTGACTACGACAGGAAATTATAAGTTGCTTACCTGTAACTGTAGTTTCCTGAGTAGTCACCTGTGAATCTGCACAGCCCCGCCCTTCCTCCCCTCGAGTATCATGCCCCGCCTTCTTGCTGCTTTGCGGCGGAAGAGAACTGAGTGGCCTGGCCCCGCGTTGGGCTATATACTCGAGAGGGGAGGGGGGAGGTGGGGCGGGGCCAGGCTTAATTTTTTGTAATATCTATTTTATTCTGGAAGGTTCCGAAGCTTTACTGCGCAGGCGCAGGAATACCATTGGTGCAGATTCACAGGTGACTACTCAGGAAACTACAGTTACAGGTAAGCAACTTATAATACTCGAAGCTAACGCTCACTTTTTGGGGGCCACGAGACCTCTCCAAAATTAAGGGGTGCATCATATCCACGGAATATGGTAACCTTTTCTGAGCCAAAGCAAAAGCTCCTCTGCCAGGGGAATAATCTCATTTAATTGCACCAACTCAATGCTATGCAATTTTGGGATTTATAGTTTGGTGTTGGCATCTGCATCGTTCAGCTTGAGGTCTTGCAAAAGTACAGCCCCCAGGACGCCATAGCACTGAACCATAAACATAAATAATGATAATAATAATAATAATAATAATAATAATAATAATAATAAGCCCTTGCAAAACTACAGTCCCCAGGACTGCATAGCATTCAACCATAAACATAATAATAATAGTAATAATAATAATCTTAATAAACATAAACATAATAGTAAACATAATAATAATATAAACATAAGCATAATAAACATGATAGTAAACATAATAATAATAATAACAGTAATAATAATAATAATAATAATAATAATAATCTATGATATTTCTTAGGGGTTGGACTGGATGACCTTAAGGGGTTCCTCCCAACTCAAGGATTCTCTATGTATTCTTTGGAGGTTGGACTAGATGACCTTTGTGGGTCCCTTCCAACTCTAGGATTCTCTGTCTATCATCTATCTATCTATGTATTCTTTGTAGGTTGGACTGGATGACCTTTGGGGGTCCCTCCCAACTCTAGGATCCTCTATCTATCTATGTATTCTTTGGAGGTTGGAGTGGATGACCTTTAGGGGTCCCTTCCAACTCTAGGATTCTCTATCTATCTATCTATTTATCTATGTATGTTTGTATTCTTTGAAGGTTGGACTGGATGACCTTTAGGGATCCCTCCCAACTCTAGGATTCTCTATCTATCCTGTTATAGGATAGATTATAATAATAATAATAATAATAATAATAATAATAATAATAATAATAAACTCTTGCAAAACTACGGCTCCCAGGACAGCAATCATTGAACCATAACCATAATAATACTAATAAACATAAGCATAGTAAACATGATTGTAAACATAATAATAATAATAATATAATAAACATAAGCCTAATAAACATGATTGTAAACATAATAATAATAATAACAACAACAACAACAATCTCTTGCAAAACTACAGCCCCCAGAACTGCAAGCATTGAACCATAAACATAATAATAATATTATTAATAATAATAATGATAATAAACATAAGCATATTAAACATAATAGTAAACATAATGGTAATTATAAGTTCTTGCAAAATTACAGCCCCCAGGACAGCATAGCATTGAACTATAAACATAATAATAATATAATAAGCATAATAAACATGATAATAAACATAATAATAATAATAATAACAGTAATAATAATAATAATAATAATCTCTTGCAAAACTACAACCTCCAGGACTGCAAGCATTGAACCATAAACATAATAATAATAAACATAAGCATATTAAACATGATAGCAAACATAATAGTAATAATAATAAGACCTTGCAAAATGACAGCCCCCAAGACTGCATAGCATTGGCCCATAAACATAAACATAATAAACATAACAGTAAACATAATAGTAATAATAATAATAATAATAATAATAATAATAATAATAATAATAATAAGTTCTTGCAAAATGACAGCCCCCAGGACTGCATAGCGTTGATTCTATTATTCCTATACCGGCAAGTTGGGTGTTGGACTAGATGACCTTTGGAGGTCCCTTCCCACACTAAGATTCTAGGATTCCTGCAAGTGGGGGGCTTTTGACTTACGGTTGGAGATGCCGTGAGGGGTCTTTCGCCAACATGCAGCACATTCAGGGAGGTGGCCCGCTTCATCCTGCCGAAAGCAAAATAAAAGAACACGTATATAATCCTATAACAGGATTAAAAGAACACATATATAATCCTACAACAGGATTTCTCCCCAAAACAAAGTTTTTTTGCAGTTTAATTAACTCTCCTCATGCTTCCTCATGCTTTTTATGATAGAGCTAATTAGGAAATGACATTTATAACCCAGGAACAAACCCAGGAACCCAGGGGTCAGTCTAGATGCCCTTTGGGGTCCCTTCCAGTGGAGTCTCCTTCTCTGAAGGCTTCTGAATTGAGGCTGGATGGCCATCTGCTGGGAGGGCTTTGACTGTGCCTTCCTGCCTGGCTGAAAGGGGTTGGACTAGATGCCCTTTGGGGGTCCCTTCCCATGGAGTCTCCTTCTCTGGCAGCTGTTGAATTGAGGCTGGATGGCCATCTGCCGGGAGGGTTTTGACTGTGTCTTCCTGCTTGGCTGAAAGGGGTTGGATTAGATGCCCTTTGGGGGTCCCTTCCAGTGGAGTCTTCTTCTCTGGAGGCTGGATGACCATCTGCTGGGAGGGCTTTTACTGTGTTTGGAGTCTCCTTCTCTGGAGGCTTCTGAATTGAGGCTGAATGGCCATCTGCCGGGAGGGCTTTGACTGTCTTCCTGCTTGGCTGAAAGGGGTTGGACTAGATGCCCTTTGGGGGGCCCTTCCTGTGGAGTCTTCTTCTCTGGAGGCTGGATGGCCATCTGCTGGGAGGGCTTTGACTGTGTCTTCCTGCCTGGCTGGAAGGGGTCGGACTAGATGCCCTTTGGGGGTCCCTTCCAGTGGAGGCTTTTGAACTGAGGCTGGATGCCCATCTGCTGGGAGGGCTCAGATTGTGCCTTCCTGCCTGGCTGAAAGGGGTTGGACTAGATGCCCTTTGGGGGTCCCTTCTCCCTCTGTGTTACAGGCGACACACTTGGGGACTACATTACTTTGACTCTTGGGACATGTAGTTTCTGGTCACCACGTATCTCTGATTCCTTTCCAGTGGAAAACAATAGTTCTGTCCAAAAGACATTTGAACCCCGCTCTCCGGTGTCATGCAGTACATCAATACTGCTGGATTAATGACGTTTTTGGGTATCGAACGGCATTAAATTTACACCATGGATGCACCCAAAGTCAGAGAGTCTAATGCTCAAACTCCTACACCATGCTGGCTCCTAAATGCAATTCTGGATGTGTTTAGAATTATAATTCTTTGCCAGACTCTATTATTATTATTATTATTATTATTATTATTATTATTATTATTATTATTATTTTACTGACACAAAACCGCAGTATATCACAACAAATGAGATCTATATGCTCGATATTATTATTATTATTATTATTATTATTATTATTATTATTATTATTATTATATGTTTATTTCTACCTTGATTTTTCTCTCCACAAGGAGACTAAAAGCAGTTATATATCTATTATTATTATTATTATTATTATTATTATTATTATTAATTACTTATACCCCTCTATTTCCCTCCACATGGAGACTCAAAGCGACTAACATTAAAACACCAAACTATAAATCCCAGGATTTCATAGGACAGTGCCAATGGAGTTATATTTACTTGAATCTAATGCTAACCCTTTTTTTTGGCTAAATCCTGGGATTTGTAGCTTGGTGATACATCAACATCCTTTGGCAGTGAAGGCTTAAGACCTTGCAAAACTATTATTATTATTATTATTATTATTTAATGTCCATGCATGGTCCATGATATGCAATCATGGGATTTGTAGCTTAGTGATGCATCCTCATCCATTGGCAGTGAAGGCTCAAGGCCTTGCAAAACTACTCATTATTATTATTATTATTATTATTATTATTATTATTATTATTATATGTCCATGCATGGGTCCATGCTTTGCAATTCTGGGATTTGTAGCTTGATGGTGCATCTGCATCCTTTGGCAGCGAAAGCTCAAGACCTTGCAAAACTATAAATAATAACTGTAATAATAATAATAATAATGATTATTATTTAGAGCCATGCTCTATGCTATGCAATCATGGGATTTGTAGTTTTGTGAGCCATCAGCATCCTTTGGCAGTGAAGGCTTAAGACCTTGCAAAACTATTATTATTATTATTATTATTATTATTATTATTATTATTATTATTAATGACCATGCATGGGTTCATTCTTTGCAATTCTGGGATTTGTAGCTTGGTGATGCATCCGCATCCTTTGGCAGCAAAGGCTCAAGACCTTGCAAAACTATAAATAATTATTATTATAATCTTTATAATTATTTTTATTTATGGGCCATGGCTCCATGCTATGCAATCATGAGATTTGTAGTTTTGTGAGCCATCTGCATCATTTGGCAGCAAAGGTTCAAGGCCTTGCAAAACTATTATTATTATTAATGGCCATGCATGGGTCCATGCTATGCAATCCTGGGATTTGTAATTTGGTGCGCCATCTGCATCTGTTGGTAAGGAAGGCTTAAGACCTTGCAAAACTATTATTATTAATAATAATATTATTATTATTTAATGGGCATGCATGGGTCCATGCTATGCAGTCCTGGGATTTGTAGTTTGTTGGTGCTTCAACACCCTTTGGCAGCGAAGGCTCAAGACCTTGCAAAAGTATTATTATTATTATTATTATTATTATTATTATTATTATTATTTAATGCCCATGCATGGCTTCCTGCTATGCAATCCTGGAATTTGTAGTTTGTTGGTGCCTCAGCATCCTTTTGCAGCGAAGGCTCAAGACCTTATCTAATAATAATAATAATAATAATAATTATTATTATTATTATTATTATTATTATTATTATTATTATTATTTAATGGCCAGGTTCCATGCTATACAGTGCTGGGATTTGTAGTTTAGTGAGGCGTCCACAGAAAAGGCTCAAGACCTTGTCTAATAATAATAATAATAATAATAATAATAATAATAATAATAATTATTATTATTATTATTGAATGGCCATGGCTCCATGCAATGGAGGGATTTGTAGTTTAGTGAGGCATCCACACTGGCAGAAAAGGCTCAAGATCTTGCCTGATAATAATAATAATAATAATAATAATAATAATAATTATTATTATTATTATTATTATTATTATTATTATTTAATGCCCAAGGTTCCATGCTATACAGTGCTGGGATTTGTAGTTTAGTGAGGCGTCCACAGAAAAGGCTCAAGACCTTGTCTAATAATAATAATAATAATAATAATTATTATTATTATTATTTATTATTATTATTATTATTGAATGGCCATGGCTCCATGCAATGGAGGGATTTGTAGTTTAGTGAGGCATCCACATTGGCAGAAAAGGCTCAAGATCTTGCCTGATAATAATAATAATAATAATAATAATTATTATTATTTAATGCCCAAGGTTCCATGCTATACAGTGCTGGGATTTGTAGTTTAGTGAGGCGTCCACAGAAAAGGCTCAAGACCTTGTCTAATAATAATAATAATAATAATAATTATTATTATTATTATTATTATTATTATTGAATGGCCATGGCTCCATGCAATGGAGGGATTTGTAGTTTAGTGAGGCATCCACATTGGCAGAAAAGGCTCAAGATCTTGCCTGATAATAATAATAATAATAATAATAATTATTATTATTATTATTATTATTATTATTATTATTTAATGCCCAAGGTTCCATGCTATACAGTGCTGGGATTTGTAGTTTAGTGAGGCGTCCACAGAAAAGGCTCAAGACCTTGTCTAATAATAATAATAATAATAATAATAATAATAATAATAATTATTATTATTATTATTGAATGGCCATGGCTCCATGCAATGGAGGGATTTGTAGTTTAGTGAGGCATCCACATTGGCAGAAAAGGCTCAAGATCTTGCCTGATAATAATAATAATAATAATAATTATTATTATTATTTAATGCCCAAGGTTCCATGCTATACAGTGCTGGGATTTGTAGTTTAGTGAGGCGTCCACAGAAAAGGCTCAAGACCTTGTCTAATAATAATAATAATAATAATATTATTATTATTATTATTATTATTATTATTATTGAATGGCCATGGCTCCATGCAATGGAGGGATTTGTAGTTTAGTGAGGCATCCACATTGGCAGAAAAGGCTCAAGATCTTGCCTGATAATAATAATAATAATAATAATTATTATTATTATTTAATGCCCAAGGTTCCATGCTATACAGTGCTGGGATTTGTAGTTTAGTGAGGCGTCCACAGAAAAGGCTCAAGACCTTGTCTAATAATAATAATAATAATAATAATTATTATTATTATTATTATTGAATGGCCATGGCTCCATGCAATGGAGGGATTTGTAGTTTAGTGAGGCATCCACACTGGCAGAAAAGGCTCAAGATCTTGCCTGATAATAATAATAATAACAATAATAATAATAATAATAATAATTATTATTATTATTATTATTATTATTATTATTATTATTATTATTTAATGCCCAAGGTTCCATGCTATACAGTGCTGGGATTTGTAGTTTAGTGAGGCGTCCACAGAAAAGGCTCAAGATCTTGTCATCCTCTATGAATCTACAGCATTGAACCATGGCAATTCAAGTGCATTCGTTCTGCAGCATTGATGCACCCGGAGGTTTCCTTTTCTATTGGTGCCCAAACATTTATGTTTCCAACGAAGGAATCCTAAGCAGGCGGCAACTGCATTGGCCAAATTGCAAAGCGTGCCCCTTTGGCAGCCATGCATTGCATTCATCAGGGTTTTGCAAATAGAGGAGTGCATTAGATTTGATGGCGCATGAGACTTGGGGGGTCTATATAATTTTGGAAGAAGTGCCTGCTTACCCGGTGGCGGGGGGCACCCTCCGGACTCCGTCCCCTCTCAGCTTGGAGACCAGCTTCTCGCTGCCCCGCCGAAGGGATTCCCGGAAGCGCGAGAAGGAGCTGCTGCGCCGGAAGCTCCCCAAGGAGTCCTGGGAAAGAAGGAGAACGGTTTCAGGATTTGCAAGACATGGAAGGATACAGGCTTTTGGATGGCCATCTGTCAGGAGAGATTTGATTGTGCCTTCCTGCCTGGCCCTTAGGTGCCCCTTCCAACTCTAGGGTTCCAAGGTCTACTTGCCACCTCCTCTCATTTTCCTCCCTGGATTAAGCACAAAATCCTTACTTTTAACAGTGAAACTGTCCCATTGCTTTGCAAAAGGCAAAACTTTCGGAATGCTTTGCAAAAGGAAAAACTGGTAAAATTGTCCCATTGCTTTGCAAAAGGTAAAACTGCCCAAAAGTAAAACCATATAATAATAATAATAATAATAATGTAAAATTATATGATTTGCTTTGCAAAAGATAAAACTGCCCAAAAGGTAAAACAGAATAATAATAATAATAATAATAATAATAATAATAATAATAATAATAATAATGTAAAACTCTACGATTTGCTTTGCAAAAGGTAAAACCACCCTAAAGGTAAACCAGTACAACAACAACAATAATGTAAAATTATATGATTTGCTTTGCAAAAGATAAAACTGCCCAAAAGGTAAAACAGTACAATGAATAATAATAATAATAATAATAATAATAATAATGTAAAATTATACAATTTGCTTTACAAAAGGTAAAACTGCCCAAAAGGTAAAACAGTACAATAATAATAATAATAATAATAATAATAATAATAATGTAAAGTGATATGATTTGCTTTGCAAAAGGTAAAACTGCACAAAAGGTAAACAAGTACAACAACAACAACAATAATGTAAAATTATATGATTTGCTTTGCAAAAGATAAAACTGCCCAAAGGGTAAAACTGTACAATAATAATAATAATAATAATAATAATAATGTAAAATTATACGATTTGCTTTGCAAAAGGTAAAACTGCCCAAAAGGTAGAACTGTACAATAATAATAATAATAATAATAATAATAATAATAATAATAAACCATACAATTTGGTTTGCAAAAGATAAAACTGCTCAAAAGGTAAAACTGTACAATAATAATAATAATAATAATAATGTAAAATTATACAATTTGCTTTGCAAAAGATAAAACTGCCCAAAAAGTAAAACCGTACAATAATAATAATAATAATGTAAAATTATACGATTTGTTTTGCAAAAGGTAAAAGTACCCAAAAGGTAAAACAGTACAACAACAACAACAACAATAATAATAATGTAAAATTATACGATTTGCGTTGCAAAAGGTAAAACTGCCCAAAAGGTAAAACTGTACAATAAATAATAATAATAATAATAATAATAATAATAATAATAATAATGTAAAATTATACGATTTGCTTTGCAAAAGGTAAAACTGCCCAAAAGGTAAAACAGTACAACAACAACAACAACAACAACAATAAGGTAAAATTATATGATTTGCTTTACAAAAGGTAAAACTACCCAAAAAGGTAAAACAGTACAACAACAACAACAATAATAATAATAATAATAATAATAATGTAAAATTATACGATTTGCATTGCAAAAGATAAAACTACCCAAAAGGTAAAACAGTACAATAATAATAATAATAATAATAATAATAATAATAATAATGTAAAATTATACGATTTGCTTTGCAAAAGGTAAAACTGCCCAAAAGGTAAAACAGTACAACAACAACAACAACAACAACAACAATAAGGTAAAATTATATGATTTGCTTTACAAAAGGTAAAACTACCCAAAAAGGTAAAACAGTACAACAACAACAACAATAATAATAATAATAATAATAATAATGTAAAATTATACGATTTGCATTGCAAAAGATAAAACTACCCAAAAGGTAAAACAGTACAATAATAATAATAATAATAATAATAATAATAATAATAATAATGTAAAATTATACGATTTGCTTTGCAAAAGGTAAAACTGCCCAAAAGGTAAAACAGTACAACAACAACAACAACAACAACAACAATAAGGTAAAATTATATGATTTGCTTTACAAAAGGTAAAACTACCCAAAAAGGTAAAACAGTACAACAACAACAACAATAATAATAATAATAATAATAATAATAATAATGTAAAATTATACGATTTGCATTGCAAAAGATAAAACTACCCAAAAGGTAAAACAGTACAATAATAATAATAATAATAATAATAATAATAATAATAATGTAAAATTATATGATTTGCTTTGCAAAAGGTAAAACTGCCCAAAAGGTAAAACAGTACAACAACAACAATAAGGTAAAATTATATGATTTGCTTTGCAAAAGGTAAAACTACCCAAAAAGGTAAAACAGTACAACAACAACAACAATAATAATAATAATGTAAAATTATACGATTTGCTTTGCAAAAGGTAAAACTGCCCAAAAGGTAAAACAGCACAATAATAATAATAATAATAATAATAATAATGTAAAATTATACGATTTGCTGTGCAAAAAGCAAAACCGCCCAAAAGTTAAAACAGTACAATAAATAATGATAATAATAATAATGTAAAATTATATGATTTACTTTGCAAAAGGTAAAACTATCCGATTGCTTTGCAAAAGGCAAAACTGTCGCATAAATAAACACAATAATAATAATAATAATAATAATAATAATAATAATAATAATGGTAAAACTGTCTGATTGCCTTGCAAAAGGAAGAACTGTCCCATAAATAAACATAATAATAATAATAATAATAATAATAATAATAATAATAATAATCCCGTTTAGACTACTGCAACGCTCTCTACGTGGGGTTGCCTTTGAAGACAGCTCGGAAGCTCCAACTAGTCCAACGCTCGGCAGCCATGATTTTAACAGGAGCGGAGCGCAGGGAGCATACAACCCCCCTGTTGCGCCAACTCCTCTGGCTACCGATCTGCTACCGGGCTGAATTCAAAGTGCTGGCGTTGGCCTTTAAAGCCCTAAACGGTTCCGGCCCAAGCTACCTATCTGACCGCATCTCTGCCTATGAACCCACCAGGACGTTTGAGATCTTCCGGGGAGACCCTGCTCTCGATCCCGCCTGCTTCTCAAGCTCGGCTGGCGGGGACGAGAGATAGGGCCTTCTCGGTGGTGGCTCCTCGGCTGTGGAACGCCCTTCCTACGGACATTAGACTAGCACCATCTCTAATGGGTATTCCGCAAAAAGGTGAAGACCTGGATGTTTGTGCAGGCGTTTGAGTAATTTAGTGCAATCTGGTAATGGAACATAGGAATGGAACAATGGACGACGAACCTGGACTACGCTTGGATGATGAGAAGATTGGGTACGGTTGTTTTTTGTAATAATTGTGCATTGTAATTGCTTATTGGTAATTTATGGATAATGTGTTAAGTCAATTGTTATATGTTGCATGGAACCACCGCTGTTTCTACTGTTTCTACTGTTTGTGAACCGCTGTGTGTCGCCTTTGGGCTTGAGATACAGCGGTATAGAAGCAAAGTAAATAAATAAATAAATAATAATAATAATAATAATAATAATAATAATAATGGTAAAACTCTCTGCTTGCTTTGCAAAAGATTAATCTGACCCACTGCTTTGCAAAAGATGGGTTGAAAAGAGATTCACTCCACTTCACCATTGGCTCCCCATCCTCAGGGTAGCGGACGTATATCGGATCCTTTTGTGCCTGCATTTCTTTATTATTTTAATTCAAAATATGTGTGTGTGTGTGTATAGAGAGGAGGGGGAGGTAGACAGTAGTGTGCTGCAAAGGAAATGCCTGGCCTCATCAGTGCTTGGCTTCCCACAAATGACCCCGGACCGTACCTGGCTCAGGTGCAAACTCCCTCCGGTGCCCCACCTGTTCTCATCTGGAAGAAATCAGGAGAAAGGACGAATGAGGCCAAGGCCCCCGATGCCCGAAAGGGAGCCCGCCCCTCCTTGCCCTGGGGCTCTTTCGGGGCGAGCGGGCGCTCTCGTTTACCGTTCCGGGCGGAGGCGAGTTCCGCGTCCTGCGAAGACAGGATCTCCTTGTAGAGCTCCTCGGCCTGCTGGTACTTGCCTTGCTTCAGGTAGGAAGACGCCTGGCGCCCAGGTGGGAAGGAAAAGGCAGCGTTAGCATGGCGAAGGTGTGTCCAGGTAGGATGAATGCCATCTGACATCTCTTGGGCTGCCACGGCTCCAGGCTATGGGTTCCTGGAAGTTGTAGTTCCCCAAGGTCTTCCCTGCCAAAGAGCCCTGGAGCCCCACCAAACTACAAATCCCAGGACTCCATAGCAATGTAAGGTAAGAGGGGCGGGCAAGACATTATTATTATTATTATTATTATTATTATTATTATTAATAATAATAATACAAATAATGTGTATTATTATTATTAATAATAATAATAATAATGTCTTACCCGCCCCTCTTACCGCCATTGCTATGGAGTCCTGGGATTTGTAGTTATTGTAGTTATTATTAATAATAATATTAATAATACACATTATCAATACACATTAATAATAATAATAATAATATGTCTTAAGCCCTGCCTATGACATTATTATTATGTCTTAATTAATATTATTACTAATAATACACATTAATATTATTATTAATAATATAATACACATTATTAAAAATAATAATATTAATAATACACATTATTAAGACACATTAATAATAATAATAATGTGTCTTAAACCCTGCCTCTGACATTATTATTATTATGTCTTAATTAATATTATTACTAATAATACACATTAATATTATTATTAATAATATAATACACATTATTAAAAATAATAATATTAATAATACACATTATTAAGACACATTAATAATAATAATAATGTGTCTTGAACCCTGCCTCTGACATTATTATTATTATGTCTTAATTAATATTATTACTAATAATACACATTAATATTATTATTAATAATATAATACACATTATTAAAAATAATAATATTAATAATACACATTATTAAGACACATTAATAATAATAATAATGTGTCTTAAACCCTGCCTCTGACATTATTATTATTATGTCTTAATTAATATTATTACTATTAATAATATTATTAATAATGCACATTATTAAGACACATTATTATTATTAATAATAATAATAATAATAATAATAATAATAATGTGTCTTAAGCCCTGCCTCTGACATTATTATTATTATGTCTTAATTAATATTATTATTATTAATAATATTATTAATAATGCACATTATTAAGACACATTAATAATAATAATAATAATAATAATAATAATAATAATAATGTGTCTTAAGCCCTGCCTATGACATTATTATTAGTATTATTATTATGTCTTAATTAATATGATTATTAATACACATTATTATGACACATTAATAATAATAATAATAATAATAATGTGTCTTAAGCCCTGCCTATGACCTTATTATTGTCTTAATTAATATTATTATTAATAACACACATTATTAAGACACATTAATAATAATAATAATGTGTCTTAAGCCTTGCCTATGACATTATTATTATTATTATGTCTTAATTAATATTATTATTAATAATACCCATTATTAATAATAATGTGTAGTATTATTATTATTAACATTATTAATAATATAACACATCATTATTATTAATAATATTAATAATTATACACATTAAGACACATTAATAATATTATTATTATGTCTTAATTAATATTATTATTAATAATACCCATTATTATTATTATTATGGTTATTATTAATAATAATAATAATAATGTGTATTATTAATCATATTATTAATAATACACATTATTAAGACACATTAATAACAATAATAATAATAATAATAATGTGTCTTAAGCCCTGCCTATGACATTATTATTATTATTATTATTATTATTATTATTATTATTATTGTCTTAATTATTTTTATTGACTTAATAATAATAATAATAATTAATTGTCTTAATTAATATTATTATTATTGTCTTTATTATTATTGTTAATAATAATATTAATAATAATAATACACATTATTATTAGTAGTAATAATGTGTATTATTATTAATATTAATAATAATAATACACATAATAATACCTCGAAGATCATCTGGACCAACCCTATTCAGACCCAATCAAAGCCCTCCCGACAGATGGCCATCTACGCAACAGGTTCCTAGCCAATCAACGCCAGGAGACCCTGGGAGTTGTAGTTTACCAGGTTGTTCTTGGTCTTGGCGACGTTGGGGTCGTCGGGGCCGAGTCGGGTCTGGTAGATGCGCAGTGCGCGCTGGTAGTACTGCTCCACTTCGTCGAACTTGCCCTGGTTCTGGCACAAGAGAGCCAAGTTGTTGAGCTGCTTGGCCACGTCCGGGTGGTCCGTGCCCAAGACCTGTCGTCAAACAACACAGAAGAGTTATTAAGGGGTACGCCTGCACTATACAACACGCGTGGGCCAACTTGGGCCCTCCCCTCCAGGTGTTTTGGACTACAACTCCCAAAATTCCTACCTACCTACCTTTTGGGCAGTTTTATCTTTTGCAAAGCAATGGGACAATTTTACCAGTTTTTCCTTTTGCAAAGCATTCCGAAAGTTTTGCATTTTGCAAAGCAATAGGACAGTTTCACTGTTAAAAGTAAGGAATTAATCCAGGGAGGAAAATGAGAAGAGGTGGCAAGTAGATAATAATAATGATAATAATAAACATAACAATAACAGTGATAATAACAATAACAACATTGCAATTAGAAAAATGGATGCCGGGGGGAGAAAAATCGTTCTCGAACGCAATCTGCAACCTATTTTGCAAAATCACGTTACTTATGTTCATTTCTTCATGTTTATTTGTTTATTTATGTTTATTTAAATATATGTAAACAAACATAAACAAATAAACAATAAATAATAACGATAATACTAATAATAAACATAACAATAACAGTAATAATAACAATAACAACATTGCATTTAGAAAAATGGATGCCAGGGGGAGAAAAATCGTTCTCGAACGCAATCTGCAAGATATTTTGCAAAATCACTTTACCTATGTTCAGTAGTTGTTGATTTATGTTTATTTGTGTTTGTTTAAACATAAACAAACAAACAATAACAACAATAACATCATTAACAACATTGCAATCAGAAAAACAGAGGCAAGGGGAAGAAAAGTCGTTCTCAAACGCAATCTGCAAGCTATTTTGCAAAATCACTATACTTATGCTCGTTTGTTATTTATTTGTTTATTTATGTTTATTAAAACATAAATAAACAAAGATAAGCAAATAAACGATAAAGGATAATGATAATATAACAATAATAATAACAATAATAACATTGCAATTAGAAAAATGGATGCCAGGGGGAGAAAAATGGTTCTCAAACGATAATACTAATAATTAACATAACAATAACAGTAATAATAATAACAATAACAACATTGCAATTAGAAAAATGGATGCCAGGGGGAGAAGAATCGTCCTCAAATGATAATACTAATAATTAACATAACAATAACAGTAATAATAATAACAATAACAACATTGCAATTAGAAAAATGGATGCCAGGGGGAGAAGAATCGTTCTCAAATGATAATACTAATAATTAACATAACAATAACAGTAATAATAATAACAATAACAACATTGCAATTAGAAAAATGGATGCCAGGGGGAGAAGAATCGTTCTCAAATGATAATACTAATAATTAACATAACAATAACAGTAATAATAATAACAATAACAACATTGCAATTAGAAAAATGGATGCCAGGGGGAGAAGAATCGTTCTCGAACGCAATCTGCAACCTATTTTGCAAAATCACATTACCTATGTTCATTTGTTTATGTTTATTTGTTTACTTATGTTTATTTAAACATAAGTAAACAAAACATAAATAAATGATAAATGATAATGATAATAATAAACATAACAATAACAGTAATAATAACAATAACAACATTGCAATTAGAAAAATGGATGCCAGGGGGAGAAAAATCGTTCTCGAACGCAATCTGCAACCTATTTTGCAAAATCACGTTACCTATGTTCATTTGTTTATGTTTATTTGTTTATTTATGTTTATTTAAACATAAATAAACAAACATAAACAAATAAACGATAAATGATAATGATACTACTAATAACAAACATAACAATAACAGTAATAACAACAATAACAACGTTGCAATTAGAAAAATGGATGCAAGGAGGAGAAAAATCTTTCTCGAACGCAATCTGCAACCGATTTTGCAAAATCACTTTACCTATGTTCATTTGTTGTTTATTTATGTTTGTTTAAACATAAATAAACAAACATAAACAAATAAATGATTAAACATAAACAAACAAACAAACAATAAATGATGATGATAATTATAAATAAGCATAAAATTAACAGTAATAATAACAATAACAACATTGCAATTAGAAAAATGGATGCAAGGGGGAGAAAATCGTTCTCTAACGCAATCTGCAAACTATTTCGCAAAATCACTTTACCTAATGTAAATAAACACATAAACATAAACAAATAAATGATACATTGTAGTAATAATAATAAATAAATATAACAATAACAGTAATAATAAAAATAGCAACATTGCAATTAGAAATATGGATGCAAGAGGGGAAAATAGTTCTCGAACGCAATCTGCAAGATATTTTGCAAAATCACTTTACCTATGTTCATTTGTTGTTTATTTGTTTATGTTTATTTGTGTTTGTTTAAACATAAACAAACAATAAATGCTGATAATAAATAAACATAACAATAACAGTAACAATAACAATAATGACACTGCAATTAGAAATATGGATGCAAGGGGGGGAATCGTTCTCGAACGCAATCTGCGACCTATTTTGCAAAATCACTTTACCTATGTTCATTTGTTGTTTATTTGTTTATGTTTATTTGTTTATTTGAGCCCCCGGTGGCGCAGTGGGTTAAACCCCTGTGCCGGCAGGACTGAAGACCGACAGGCCGCAGGTTCGAATCTGGGGAGAGGCGGATGAGCTCCCTCTATCAGCTCCAGCTCCTCATGCGGGGACATGAGAGAAGCCTCCCACAAGGATGATAAAACATGAAATCATCCGGGCGTCCCCTGGGCAACGTCCTTGCAGACGGCCAATTCTTCACACCAGAAGCGACTTGCAGTTTCTCAAGTCACTCCTGACATGACAAAAAAAATTGTTTATTTGTGTTTATTTAAACATAAATAAACAATAAAGGATAATGATAATACTAATAATAAATATAACAATAACAGTAATAATAGCAATAACAACATTGCAATTAGAAAAATGGATGCAAGGAGGATAAAAATGGTTCTCGAATGCAATCTGCAAGCTATTTTGCAAAATGGCTTTACCTTCTCCCGGATCTCCAGGGCCCTTTTGCACAGCGGCTCGGCTTCCTTATACTTTCCCCTTTTGCCATAGAGGACGGCCAAGTTGTTCAAGGTGGCAGCCACCTGCAAGAAATACGCCTTTCCTTACCCATGGGTCAGATCCTGAGTGCTCTATAGCCTTGCAAACACATGCATGCGCAAGATCAAAGGTTCGCATAGTTGGAAAGAGACCCCCAAAGGTCAGCTAGTCCAACCCCCTTCTGAAAGACAGGAGAGCACCATTTGTTCCCTCCCAACAAGGCGTATGCAAGAAAGGCGTATGCAAGAAATACGCCTTTCCTTACCCATGGGTCAGATCCTGAGTGCTCTATAGCCCTGCAAACACATGCATGCGCAAGATCAAAGGTTCGCATAGTTGGAAAGAGACCCCCAAAGGTCAGCTAGTCCAACCCCCTTCTAAAAGGCAGGAGAGCACCATTCGTTCCCTCCCAACAAGATGACCATCCAGCCTCTGCATCATAATAATAATAATAATAATAATAATAATAGAATCTTAAGAGTTGGAAGAGACACCCAAAGATCATCTAGCTCAACCCCCTTCAGGTGGGAAGACACCATCCGAGCCCTCCTGACAGAAGGCCATCCAGTCTCTGAATAATAATAATAATAATAATAATAATAATAATAGAATCTTAGAGTTGGAAGAGACCCCCAAAGATCATCTAGCCCAACACCCTTCAGGTAGGAAGACACCATCCAAGCCCTCCCGACAGAAGGCCATCCAGCCTCTGAATAATAATAATAATAATAATAACAACAACAACAGAATCTTAGAGTTGGAAGGGACACCCAAAGCTCATCTAGCCCAACCCACTTCTGCCAGGTAGGAAGACACCATCTGAGCCCTCCCGACAGATGACCATCCAGCCTCTGAATAATAATAATAATAATAATAATAATAATAATAATAATAATAGAATCTTAGAGTTGGAAGAGATACCCAAAGCTCATCTAGCCCAACCCACTTCTGCCAGGTAGGAAGACACATCTGAGCCCTTCCGACAGAAGGCCATCCAGCCTCTGAATAATAATAATAATAATAATAATAATAATAATAGAATCCTAGAGTTGGAAGAGACACCCAAAGCTCATCTAGCCCAACCCCGTTCTTCCAGGTAGGAAGACACCATCTGATCCCTCCCGACAGAAGGCCATTCAGCCTCTGAATAATAACAACAACAACAACAACAACAACAACAACAACAGAATCTTAGAGTTGGAAAGAACACCCAAAGCTCATCCAGCCCAACCCACTTCTGCCAGGTAGGAAGACACCATCCGAGCCCTCCCAACAGATGGCCATCCAGCCTCTAAATAATAATAATAATAATAATAATAATAATAATAGAATCTTAGTTGGAAGAGAATCCTAGAGACCCCCCAAAGATCATATAGCCCAACCCCCTTCAGGTAGGAAGACACCATCTGAGCCTTCCCGACAGATGGCCATCCAGCCTCTGAATAATAATAATAATAATAATAATAATAATAATAATAGAATCTTAGAGTTGGAAAGAACACCCAAAGATCATCTAGCCCAACCTCGTTCTGCCAGGTAGGAAGACACCATCTGAGCCCTCCTGACAGATGGCCATCCAGCCTATGAATAATAATAATAATAATAATAATAATAATAATAATAGAACCATACAATATTAGAGTTGGAAGAGACCCCTAAAGGGCATCTAGTTCAACCCTACTGCCAGACAGGAAGACACAATCTAAACCTTCCTGACAGATGGCCATCTGCTTGCTAAGATCCCTTTCACATGGATTTTCCGATGAGGTCCAACCAAAGCTATGACTTCCATTCATGTAGACTCCTATCTACTGCACATATGTAACACTGACCGCAGGGTGTTCCACGCCGAGCGTCTGCTCCCGAATATCCAGGGCATCGTTGAGCAGCTCCGTCGCTTCCTTGTACTTGTTCTGGTCCCTGTGGTGGAATAAATTGCAAAGTGTGGATTGTATTTAGGTGCCTATTCTGTTCTGCAAAATGAGCCACCCAAGAAGCTGAGCCCCCAGGGATGTCTTTGCAAATCTGTAAAGGATAATCTTTGTTTTTAGACAGTGGCTGGAAGGTACCCCCAAAGGTCATCGAGTCCAACCCCTGAGAAATACACAGATAGAGAGATAGAAAGTCCTAGATTTGGAGGGGATCCCCAAAGGTCATCCAGCCATGATCATTTACTGTTTATTTGTTTATGTTTGTTTGTTTACATTTAAATATACATAAATGGTCTGTTCTTGTAAGCCGCTCCGACACCTATTGGAGTGGCGGCATATACATTTGAATAATAAATAAGTAAATAAACATAAACAAATAAACAATAAATGGTTTATCCTATTGGCAAAGTCCAAACCAGAGTCCCAGGTACAAGCAATGAAACAATTGCCCCATGAATCACTATGCAAGAAATCCCAAGCGTACTGCTTTCCCCAGGCTAAGGTTATTCCATGAAGCTTTCAGGATAGTAAGCTACATTGAACTGGCACTTTCTCAGAGTATAAATAATAATAAATAAATATAACAACCTCCACTATGAAATTAACACAGTTTGGCACCACTTGAGCCGCCATGGCTCAATGCAGTCTGGTCCTGGGAGTTGTAGTTTTGCAAGGACTGGCGCCAAACGGTGCGAACTACAACTCCCAGAATCCCGTAGCGTTGAGTGGTGCCAAACTGCATTCATTCTATAACAGGCCTGGGCCAACTTGGGCCCTCCCCTCCAGGTGTTTTGGACTACAACTCCCAAAAGGTAGGTAGGTAGGAATTTTGGGAGTTGTAGTCCAAAACACCTGGAGGGAGGGCCCAAGTTGGCCCACGCGTGTTCTATAGTGTAGGCGTACCCCTTAATAACTCTTCCGTGTTGTTTGATGACAGGTCTTGGGCACGGACCACCCAGTCCAACCCAAAGTTGTCCCATGCCTGGTGGAAATGCACCCAATGCACTTTGTTTTTAAGCAGGATGGTACCCCCAAAGGTCATCCAGTCCAACCCCTAAGAAATACACAGATAGATAGATAGATAGATAGATAGATAGATAGATAGATAGATAGATAGATAGATGTTTAGATGGATGGATGGATGGATGGATGGATGGATGGATGGATGGATGGATGGATGGATGGATGGATGGATAGATGGATGGATGGTTGGATGGCTGGATGGACGGACGGACGGACGGACAGATAGATGGATGGACAGATAGATGGATGGATGGATGGATGGACAAATAGATGGATAGATGGATGGATGGATGGATGGATGGATGGATGGATGGATGGATGGATAGATAGATAGATAGTCCTAGACTTGGACGGTATCTCCAAAGGTCATCCCGTCCAACCCAAAGTTGACCCATGCCTGGTGTAAATGCACCCGATGCTCTTCATTTTTAAGCAGTGACTGGATGGTACCCCCAAAGGTCATCCAGTCCAACCCAAAGTAGACCCATGCCTGGTGGTAATGCACCCAAAGGTGCGGATCAAGGAGCAGTGCGTATCTGTGTTTTGTCCAGGTAAGTCTCCCGCTGTACCTGTACACCAGGGCCAGGATGTTGAGCATGGTGGCCACGTCCGGGTGGCTGTGGCCGGAGCTCTTCTCCAGGTCCTCCAGCGCCTGCTTGCAGAGCGGGACGGCCACCTCGTAGCGTCCTTGCGAGGCGTATTGGATGACCAGGTTGTGCAGCGTCCGGAGCCGAGCGGGGATCTCGTACCCGCCTTGCTGTGCCGCGGATGCGGCCGCCGCCATCGGTCCTTGTCCCCCTGAACAACAAAGAGAGAAAATGGGTTGTTGTAGGTTTTTTCGGGCTACATGGCCATGGTCTAGAGGCATTCTCTCCTGACGTTTCGCCTGCATCTATGGCAAGCATCCTCAGAGGTAGTGAGGTCTGTAGAAACTAGAAAAAAAGGGGTTTATATATCTGTGGAATGACCAGGGTGAGACAAAGGACTCTTGCCTGCTGGAGCTAGGTGTGAATGTTTCAACTGACCACCTTGATTAGCATTTGATGGCCTGGCAATGCCATTGAAATCCAATTTTAACTCTACATTTGGTCTTCCCACTGTTTTTAATTATGTGCTGTTTTATTGATGATGTTGTGTATCTTATTGTCTATGTGTTTTTAATTGCTTGTACTGTGTTGTTATTGCTTGTATTGTTGTGTTTGGGCTCGGCCTCATGTAAACTGCACCGAGTCCCTTGGGGAGATGGTAGCGGGGTACAAATAAAGTGTTGTTATTATTATTATTATTATTATTATTAATCCACAAGCATGTGGACTATTTCAACAGAAAGGAGGAAACCATGAAAATGAACAAAATCTGTCTGCCAGTATTAAAAAAACCCTCTAAAATTACAACAGAGAGGAAACAATCAGGGACATCTAATCACCTCTCAACAAAAGATTGCTCCAGGCACTGCCAGGCAATCAAATGCTAATCAAGGTGGTCAGTTGAAACCTTCACACCTAGCTCCAGCAGACAAGAATCCTTTGTCCCACCCTGGACATCATTCCACAGATATATAAACCCAATTTTCCTAGTTCCAACAGACCTCACTACCTCTGACGATGCTTGCCATAGATGCAGGCGAAATGTCAGGAGAGAATGCCTCTAAAACATAGCCATATAGCCCGAAAAAACTACGACAACCCAGTGATTCTGGCCATGAAAGTCTTTGACAATACAAAATACTGTTTGCTCACCGTTGAAAATTACCTAGGGCCGCCTCTGATTCCCAGCATCCCCCAATCAACAAGCCACTGGGGGATTCATAGAATTGGGGTCCATCTACACACCAGGATAAATGCAGTTTGACGTCTCTTTAACTCAATGCTATGGAATCCTGGGAATAATAGTTTTGCAAGCTTTCCCTGCCGGGGTGCAAACTACAACTCCCAGGATTCCACAGCCTGGAGTCATAGCAGTTAAAAGTGGTGTCAAACTGGATTATTTCCATAGTGTAGAGGCAAAATAAGGAGTCGAAATAATTCTGTAATCTGTTAACATGCCAAACTTGAGTCGCATTTTGTTGGGAGAATGGCAGGATGCAAACCAAACAAATCATTTCGTTTGCTTTCTTGGGGAACCTGTTTATATAACAACCTGTATGCAAGGATCCCAGACATTTAGACTGTAAGTGATTCAAAAAATCAGATGGGAAGACTATACAAAACTATTTGACAAGTCTAGACAAAGCCTCATAAAACAGGTCTGAAACTACGCAAGTAGAGACAGCTTTGGGTGCGATTTATGATGCTTTGTGTTCTTGCTTGGCTTGGAATCCTAGAATCAAAGAGTTGGAAGAGACCTCGTGGGCCATCTAGTCCAACCCCATTCTCCCAAGAAGCAGGAATATTGCATTCAAATCACCCCCGACAGATGGCCATCCAGCCTCTGCTTAAAAGCTTCCAAAGAAGGAGCCTCCACCACACTCCGGGGCAGAGAGTTCCACTGCTGAACAGCTCTCACAGTCAGGAAGTTCTTCCTCATGTTCAGATGGAATCTCCTTTCTTGTAGTTTGAAGCCATTGTGCCATTGCGTCCTGGTCTCCAAGCTTGCTCCCTCCTCCTCCCTGTGGCTTCCTCTCATATATTTATACATGGCTATCATCATATCTCCTCTCATCCTTCTCTTCTTCAGGCTAAACATGCCCAGCTCCTTAAGCCGCTCCTCATAGGGCTTGTTCTCCAGACCCTTGATCATTTTAGTCGCCCTCCTCTGGACACATTCCAGCTTCTCAATATCTCTCTTGAATTGTGGTGCCCAGAATTGGACACAATATTCCAGGTGTGGTCTAACCAAAGCGGAATAGAGCATGGGGAGCATGACTTCCCTAGATCTAGACACTCTGCTCCTATTGATGCAGGCCAAAATCCCATTGGCTTTTCTTGCCGCCACATCACATTCCTGGCTCATGTTTAACTTGTTGTCCACGAGGACCCCAAGATCTTTTTCATATGTACTGCTCTCGAGCCAGGCTTCATCGTCCCCCATTCCGTATCTTTGCATTTCGTTTTTTCTGCCTACGTGGAGTCTCTTGCATTTGTCACTGGAAATAACTGCATTCATTTCATGGCATCGATGCATCCTAGAAAAATATCACTGGTGGAGTCTACACCAGCGTTTCTCAACCTGGGGATCGGGACCCCTGGGAAGGGTCAACAAAGACCATCAGAAAACACAATATCTTCTCTTGATCATGGAGATTCTGTGTGCAAAGTTTGGTTCAATTCCATCATTGGTGGGGTCCAGAATGCTCTTTGATTGTAGATGAACTATACATCCCAGCAAGTACAACTCCCAAATGTCAAGGTCTGTTTTCCCCAAACTCCACAGGTGTTCACATTTGGGCATATTGAGTATTTATGCCGTGTTTGGTCCAGGTCCATCATTGATTGACTCCACAGTACTCTCTGGATGGAGGTGAACTACAACTCCAAAACTCAAGGTCACTGCCCACCAAACCCTTCCAGTATTTTCTCCTGGTCGTGGGAGTTCTATGATCAATTCCATTGTTGGCTAAGTTCAGGACACTATTTGACTGCAGATAAACTATAAATCCCAGCAACTACAACTCCCAAATGTCAAGGTCTGTTTTCCTCAAACTCAACCAGTGTTCACATTTGGGCATATTGAGTATCTGTGCCAAGTTTGGTCCAGATCTATCATTGTTTGAGTCCACAGTGTTCGATGGATGGAGGCGAACTACAACTCCCAAATTTCAAGGTCTGTTTTCCCCAAACACCACCAGTTTTCACATTTGGGCATGTTGAGTATCCGTGCCAGGATCCATCACTGTTTGACTCCACAGTGCTCTCTGAATGTAGGTGAACTACAACTCCAAAACTCAAGGTCAATGCCTACAAATCTTTCCAATATTTTCTCTTGATCATGGGAGTTCTCTGTGACAAGATTGGTTCAATTCCATCGATGGTGAAGTTTGGGAGTTGAGTATCCGTGCCAAGTCTGGTCCAAATCCATCACTGTTCGAGTCCACAGTACTCTCTGGGTGGAGGTGAACTACAACTCCCAAACTCAAGATCAGTGCCCACCATGCCTTTTCAGTATTTCTCTTGGTCATGGGAGTTCTGTGTGACAAGATTGGTTCAAGTCCATCATTGGTGAAGTTCAGTATGCTCTTTGATTGTAGGTGAACTATAAATCCCAGCAACTACAACTCCAAAATTTCAAGGTCTGTTTTCCCCAAACTCCACCAGTGTTCACATTTGGGCATATTGAGTATTCATGCCAAGTTTGGTCCAGATCTATCATTGTTTGAGTCCATAGTGCTCTTTGGATGTAGGTGAACTACAACTCCCAAACTCAAGGTCAGTGCCCACCAAACCAAGTATTTTCTCCTGGTCGTGGGAGTTTTGTGTGCCAAGTTTGGTTCAATTCCATCGTTGGTGGAGTTCGGAATGCTCTTTGATTGTAGGTGAACTATAAATCCCAACAACTACAACTCCCAAATGACAAAATCAACCCCCCCTCCAACCCCACCAGTATTCAAATGTGGGTGTATAGGGTATTTGTGCCAAATTTGCAGCTCAAGTGGCATTAAAATGCATTAAACCCCTAGTGTAGATGGATTTAATGCAATTGAGACAGGTCCATGTCCATCATCCCCGCTCCAAGTACATACCTGGCCTCTGCTCATCTTCGTCGCTGGGGAATAAGGACGATAGGCTATCCTTCCTCTGCTCCGAATCGTCCTTCTCAGCCTGCAAAGAGAGATGACCATGGAACTCACTTGGCTGCATCTACATTGTTGCATTAATGCAGTTTGGCACCACTTGGACTGCCATGTTGCAATGCAATGGGATCCTGGGAGTTGTAGTTCACCCTCTTTGGTAGGAAAAGGCCCAAGACCTTGGCAAACTACATCATGCGACATGTCATTGCACTGAGCTGTGGCACTGCAAGTGATGTCCAACATCATCATCATCATCATCATCATCATCATCTCCCATTTGTCTCTTGCTTGAGATGCAAAGAGGTAGATAATGCTAATGATAATAGTAATAATAATAATAATAATAATAATAATAATATATTGTTAAAGGCTTTCATGGCAGGAATCACTAAGGTGCTGTTGTTGTTGTTGCTATCCTCTGAAGATGTAGGTCAAACGTCATGAGAAAATGCTACTAGAATATTATTATTATTATTATTATTATTATTATTATTATAGATCCAGTCTTAGATCCATCATCATCATCATCGTCATCATCATTTATCCA